ATAACAAAGTTTATTTGAGACTAAAGACTTAGCCTCACTTTTTATTTTAGAGTCTGTGTTTGTCTCTCCCAATTCAAGCAATGCTTCTTGTAACTCTAAAATTTGGAATCGTATTGCTTTTACACTTTCTACACGACTCTCCCAACGAGTACTGGACAATGGCTTAAGAGTTAACCTCTTTATGTTAATTTTCAAAATGTGTCATCTCTTTGTTGAATTAGCAAATATTGTGTAGATTCTTTGAACAACACCAAAAAAATCTCAAGCTTTTCTACAACCATCCCCAATACCGCATAAAGTTAAGTTCAAACTATGACTTCCACATGGAATGTAAATTGTAAAATGCCCTGGGATTGACATCTAAGAGTCTTTTTTCTACGCCTTGGTGTTTTCCTCTCATGCTGGATCCATTGTCATAATCTTGTCCTCGTACATTATGTATGTCAAGTTCAAGAGAATGCAACACACTTTGCAAATACTTGAAAGAGACCATGACCTGTTGTATCATTCACAACCAAAAACTCCAAAAAAAAATTCTTCAACTTTTGATGGAAAATTGCTAAAGTGCTAAAGCATTTGAAGATTTTGAAACAATTAGCAAAAAAAACTTTTAAAAGAAGAAAAATTAAAAAAACTGTTTGTATCAAATTATAATTCATTAATCATTGTAATTAAAAATGAAATTTCATAAAACTATTCAACTATAGAAGAAGAAAACATGGATCGCACATTTAAAAATTAAGAATTAAAAAATAAAATTAGGGATTTAATCATTAAAATCAATAAATTATAATAAATCATATGTTCATACCTGAAGACCGAAGTGAAATTAGTGAATGCAAAAGTGCTGGACGGCATAGATGTGAGGCGACGGCCCGACGCAAATCTTCTTCTTCCTCTGTCTTCGACCTTCCGCCTTCGTTCTTCACTTCTCCCGGTTCTAATGCGGCTAAAAAGTGTGAAGAGTTGCTCCAAATTTTTTTGCCATTTGGGCCTCTTATTACATAATACGTAGTACTATCTTTAAAAAGAATTTGGGCCATAGTTTTTTTTGGGCCCTGTACGGTTGAACACCCTGCACCGGCCCAAGGCCGCCCCTAGGTACGGTTTATCTATTCAAACGTTTGTCAATTAAAAGTTCTATAATGTCCTGTCTTTGATAAAAATGACCTATTATACAATTCAACTAGAATAAGACATTATTAAAAATAATTTGAATAGTTATTGAAATAATGAATCACTATCCAACACTTGTTGCGAACGACCACATTTGTATAATCAGTCATTATCCAACACTTGTTGCTACAGGGGACATATATGGCAGATTATATGAAATTATGAGCACTAGAAACGACGGACGAAGCCGATGAAAATCCTTTGCCTGAGGCTCTCTCCGACCGCCGTTTCTTCACCGTCACACATTGTCCGCCATCTGCCGACCACCACCCGCCCAACCCCGTGATTTGCTCCTAATTCCAAGGTACAACCCTAATTTTTTCTCCTTAAATGAAGCGTGAAATTTACCTTGACAATTTTTTCTTGTGATTGCATGATAATGATGATTTGATTTACAGTAAATTATTTAAAAAAATTGTGTTTAAAATTTGTATTATTTTTACTAATTTTTTTGTTAAATTTTATAGTTAAAGTATTAAATTTATTCTAGGAAATGTATCATATGCTTTTTTTATATGCTATTTTTTGTTAATTATATATGCTTATTATCATAGAAAATTTTGATTTGATTTTAGGAAATTTTTATTTTATATGATTCTAGGAAATTTTTCATATGATTCTAGGAAATTCGATATGATTCTAGGAATTTTTTATTTGATATGATTCTAGGATTTTTTTTAAAAAAGTTTTTGTTATAAATAACTTCTTAACTTATCTTAAAATTTTGGTTATCGTAAGTGGTAATTTTTTGTATTCTTTAAATTGTGAATTAATTTGAATTGTTGATATGTTATTTGCATTGTTCGATTTGTGATTCTTTTGTATTAAACAGTGTTTATTTTTTATTACAATGTCTGGATTTGGTGATCGTGAATGGATATATAATAAATTTCAATGCGAAAGTGTAATTAGTAAAGAATGGGTTGACAATGTCATTAAGTTTGTGGATATTTGTTCATCGAATCCCAATGTTGATCGGTCTAAGAATAACATGCATTGTCCGTGTAAGTCATGTAAGAATTTAAAGTTTAAAGGTAATGCAACCATTATAGAGCATATCTTACGATTTGGTTTCACTCCAAATTATTATGATTGGGTTTGTCACGGTTAAAAGCACTGGGATTATGTTCCCCTGAAACTACGACGAGTTGAACAACATGAGGATACCACACATGTGACAAGAGCCGCATGAAGAGACCAATATATTGATATGATGTACGATGATGCACGCCCTTTTGTCGCATATTTAAATGCTAGGGAAGAACCAAATTTGGAAGATAAAAAGTTCTTTGAGATGTTAAAAGCTGTTGATAAGGATTTGTGGTTAGGGTGCTCTAAGATGTCACAGTTGTCAGCAACTAGACCCTTACTCAACATTAAATCTGAACATAATCTCTCACAGAGATGTTACGGAAATAAAATTCGAACTCTTTCGCAGATTCTCTCGCAAATGTAATTAATCGGAACTCCGTCGCAGACCAGCGACGGAAATAAAATTCCGTCGCAAGTCCGTTGCTATTACTTCTGCGACAAAAATAGACGTTTTGCGATAGAAATTATCCGTCGCAAATACATCAAAATTTGTAGTGTTACCTTTTTTCTTTGTTTGTTCGTCTGCCATAACTGCACAAATAAAAAACAATGTAACATAAGTTTGATTAAAAGGAATCAAAAATAAATGAAATCTTTGTGATACAAATAGAATCTTATATCTTTAATGCTATCAACCATAAAATGATTATGACATAAGTTACAAAGGCAATATCTTTTTCCCCACTTTTGAATATTTCCTTACGCAACGAATAAACTCCTCCAAACCAGAACTAAACTCAGGTAATGTACGCGGCATATTAATCCAACTTCAATCCATAATATGAATTACTAGCTAGCCAATAGATGAGCAAATCAATGGATCAGTTAGATACAAAACAATGCAAAAAAACTCATTTCACATATATAATACACATACATATAACAAATACATGCAACACAATATTCAATTCTGATCTTATGATGTAAAAAAATTGGCAGCATTTAATTTCTTCAATATAAAAATGGTCCTTCTTTACTCTATCCTAACCCATTCTTGAAACGTCACTCTCACTAGTAAATACATTTCCTTTTCTTTGATGTATCAAAATTTCGGAAGTATTTCCCAATGGTTCTCCAAGTGCACGATGTAATGTAGTTACATATGCACCCAAAGAACGCATTTCGGCAACGTCAAACCAAAAACATGATAGAACAAAGGAAAAGAAATACATTCACCACCTAAGTGAGGGAAACATATCAAGAATAGCTCCAAACTGGGAGCTGTTTAAAATTTACTCCTAACGAGTAAATTTTAAACGGGAATCTAGGTCGGTCGATATATGTTATTTCTATATTATAACATCCCATTTCATGTAGCATCAAACAAAAAAAATAATTACACAATGTGAAAAATAATAATTTTACAATAATAATTTACAATAATTTTGTGTCAAAAAAATAACACAAACACTAAAAAATTAAAATTTTACTTGAATATCACAAGGGAGAAAGACCAAAGTAGGACTAAAACATTGAAGATATACCAAAATAGGACTTCCATGTTTTTTTCCCGAATTAGGACTTACATTACCAAACATGGTCATATACATGACCCAAAACGTATAGTAATGTGCACATGTACGCTGTCACATTACCACAATGCAAAGTCACATTACCACAGTGCAAAGTCCTATTTCGAGAAAAAAACATGAAAGTCCTATTTTGGTATTTTTCTCTATGTTTTAGTCCTATTTAGGGTGATTTCTAATATCACAATGTCAAATTTCAACTAAGACATAAACACAAAAGCAATTCAAGTATCTAGTAATTAAAGTAAATACATTGAAATAAAATTTGAATATCACATTTTATACTAATGCACAAATTAAATACAAAAAAGTTAAAAATAAAATTTCTAATTTTAAGTAAAGAAAAAAAACCTTTGAGTGGAGGGCGACTGTGTGAATTGAAGGCGGCGTCGACAATGGTGGTGGGCGACGGCGTGGAGGGGCACCGGTGTGAAGACGTCAAAAGTGGAGGCGTTGAAGGGCGGGGCGAGATTTGGCGGCGGCGAGGAAGGAGATGAGCGGAGGATGTGAACGGCGACGGTATAGGAAGCGGCGGCAGGAGTGGAGGTCACGACAACTGCGGTAGGTAGCGAGGAGGTCAATGGAGGTGAGAACGGTGACAGAAAAGCACCAGGGATGGCGAGGGAACTCGTCGACGAAGACTTGTGGAGAGGACGAACGAGGTTTTTTAAGATCGCGTAGAAGATAATGTTACGTGTGGTAAGATCTAACAGGGTTTTTTTTAAATAGGTTATTCCTAAGAATCGATTAAAAAAGTTTTTGAATCTGTTATTAGGTATAACTAATTTAAAAGATGCTCCGAATTTGAATCGGATATTCCTAATAACCGATTCACAAACCTTTTGAATCGGTTATCTAATAACCGATTGAAATATCGAGTGATTTGTGAAAATTACATCCTTTTTTAATCGATTATTTACGTATCCGATTCAAATGGTACAATCCTTTTACTCATTTTTGTACTAGTGATTTGAGATAGGGGAGGACTAATAAAGACACAAAAATAGGAGCAACACTTTGATTTTCTCACAAATCTTTTTTCCACAAAATTCCTAGATAAATCCCATCAAATCCTCTAAAAAAAGAGCACATTTTAGGAAGCCCAAAGTCCTCATCCTCTTGTACCATAGTCTTTGTACCCCACTCTGTATTTGGTCTTCCCTGTTTAGTCTAAACTTCCCTCGTTTATTGCCGAGTCCACAGCTAATTTCAAAACCAATTCTCACTCCCTTTCTCTCTCTATAACTCTTCATCCCATCATCTTCCATTAATGGCCTCAAACAGTGGACTCCCCTTTGATCCAGATCCCATCAGATTTCCCCATGAACATAATAAACAACCCATCATAAAACTTGATCTCCCTTTCCTCTCCTCCTCCTCTTCCATGGAGTCTCCGGTCAACAACAGGTCGCCGCCACCCACTATCCAGTTCCCGGTCAACCTCAAATCCGCCGACCACCACCGCAACCCCCATCAAGAACCCTACGACGGCGATGATCAAAAACGGACCGCCGCTGTCGTCCTAGACGAATTGGACTTCTTCTCCTGCAAAAAGGATTCCGGGTCCGGTCCCGCCGCCGCCGCGGCCCGGGACGCCGCCGCCGACCGCGACGTCAAAGATTTCAGTGTAAACGTACGTGAGACGCCGTGATCGACACGCCGCAATTCCATTCGACCTAATTGTGTCTAATGGGAGACTTTATTAATTTTTCACGCGCAAAAAAAGAATAAAAAGAAAATGAAAAAGAAATTTCTTTATTGATTTTTTTTCCCTTTTTTATCCTTTCTTTTTCAGACTGGCTTGCACCTTCTCACAGCCAACACAAACAGCGAACAGTCGGTAGTGGACGATGGGTCGCCACCTAATTCGGAAGATAGAAGAGCTAAAAGCGAGGTAATCTTTCACTCGATCAGTGGTTATACTAATCTTTCACTCGATCAGTAAATTTTTGATTGAATTGATTTTTTGTTGATTTTATCGAAACTGTTTTTTAGAAAATTAAAAGAGCAATGCTACATTTTTGATGATGTTTCAGTTGGCAGTTGTTCAAGTAGAACTGGAAAAGACGACAACAGAAAACCGACAATTAAAGGAGGCATTGAATCAAATGACGAACGATTACACTTCTTTGAAGATGCATGTGATGACTTTAATGCAACAACAACATATTAGTAGTGAAGGGAAAATGATGGGGGACAACAATAAACAAACACGCTGTGACGGAGGGATAATGTTGCCATCCGGTAAGCAATTTATGGATCTTGGTCTTGCCGGGGGAGGACAGGAGGCGGATGAGGCTTCCCAGTCTTCGTCGGACGGGCGGAGTGGCGAGCAAGATCGGAACAAGGCTTCTAGAGAAGATAGTCTAGAGAAAGGGTCATCCGCCGCAGGGTGGCGATCTAGTAGCAGTAACAATAATAATAACAATAATAATAAGGTTGCTAGATCTGGGATCGCTTCGAAAAGCAGTAGCGTGGATCAAGCGACCGAATCCACAATGAGGAAGGCTCGCGTCTCCGTTAGAGCTCGATCCGAGGCTCCCATGGTATCTATATATCTATCTATTAATTGTTACAAATATGGATTCACCTATATTTATATTGGGTGTTCTTAAATTCACTTCTATATTTATTTGGTAATTTACCTAAATAGAACTAAAACATAATCACTTTCTCAATATAGGATCATATGTTTTTATTTTCCAATGTAGGTACATTAGCCATTATCCATTAGTCATTATTCAAGTAAATGTTCATCATCACTAGGCATTATTCCTCCCATTAGACATTATTAAGTCCTATTTAAGGAATAAAAAGTTTAAGTCCTACATTGAGAAATGACTTATGTTTTAGTTCTATTTAGTGCAAATTTCACATATTTATTTAACCATAAATAAGATGGATTTCGCCATAATAAAAGTGAATTTAACAACACCCATTTACCATAGTTTATTTCATTCTTAAATCTTGATTTGTTTTTGTTTTTCTTGTTTTCCTTCCGGCAAGATCACAGACGGTTGTCAATGGCGGAAATATGGCCAGAAAATGGCAAAAGGGAACCCTTGTCCCCGAGCTTATTACCGGTGCACCATGGCCGCCGGTTGCCCCGTTCGGAAGCAAGTATGTACTCCTCTCTACTCTACTCGATCTAATATTTCCCTTTAAACTAAAAATTCCTGATTTTGGTTTAATTAACCATTATTAGGCCATCCCATCTAATTTAACTCTCAAACCCTGACTTTTTTTTGAACACCTCAAACCCTAACTGATTAGAGCCGAGGAACCAAAAAAATACAGTATGAAAAACTAAAATTGTTAAATGGGGCGTTTCGAGGGCTAGTTCCGATAGTTGAGACTCGAGAGAGACGATACCTTGAAATTGTTAACGTTTTGAAAAAAGAATATTTAACAATAGTGTTTAGTTTTAGCGCTATCAAAATTAGTTTATATCATTAAAAAATAACTCAAGATATTAGCGATAATTGTAAACGTTTTTCGTGAACGAGGCCTTACTCTCATCACATAATGGCACGAATGTGTTGAGTTTGAGGGTCCAATGGTACTCCCTTTAGAAAAAAGGTCCGGTTCCGTGGCCACTGGATTTGTGTGGCCACGGAAGCCACTGTCCCGATTCAGACACTTACAATGTTGTGTTTGTAAAACTAATGATTTCTACCTCACCTAACCTCCTTGGTAAACCCCCTTGCCCAGTCCCGACCTCAACACATCCCCCACCTAGGTCAATTGCATCTTGTAATTTTAGTTGACTTTGAGGTGAAAATTTTATAGTTAAGTTAACTATACTTGCGGGGTGGAATTGACGTAGGTGAGGGGATGAGTTGGGGTCGAGACTGACCAGGGCTGTTTACCAGGAGGGTTAGGAGAGAAGAAATCATCAAATTTACGAATGGAGCATCGTAAGGGGACAATGGCTTCCGTGGCCACCGAAATCCAAGGGCCACAGACCCCAACCGTTAGAAAAAGTGGTATCGGAGCCCTCATATTTAACAAGCGAAGCGGGTTGAATCATGCGGGTACTATACACAACCCATATTCACAAGTAATTTCATCGTATTGTTTGGGAACAACGATTTGATTTGATGTTAGTGCTTTGAATAATTTCTAATTGTGCAAACTAAATTCAAAAACATAATAATTAAATATTGTCATTAAAGAGTACTTTCAAAACACTAAATATAAACATTGAAATTGTTGCCAAACAGACCCGCTAGTATGGACATTGTCACAATTGACGTTTTGTTTTACGATATTTTACCAAGTTTTTTTAATTCAATTTATTAATTAGAATATTTATAGGTGTACAAATTAAAATACAAAATACAAATACACACACATATATAAACACTATATAAATTGTTTGACTATATTTAAACCCTAAGATAAAATTCATTTCAGGCTAGTTTTGACCTGCATAAATTTGACTAAAGTGGCCTTAGATGCTAAATTTGCTCAAATTTTGTTGTTAGATATAGTATTCCTTCGGTTATATCCTCTAATTTCTTTTTCATTTGACTTTGTTTAATCATGACTTACTCCGTATTAAACTCTAATTGTAATGTACAGTATAAAAATATTCTTCCTTCTTCTTTAAAATATTGACACTGTTCAATTCACTTATCCGAAATCAGAAATTTATTTATTTATTTATTTATTTTCATTGAATTTTTTATGAAATAAAATATTTTTGATAGTTCTTACTCCGTATTTTGTAAAACATTTTAAATATGCTGATTTTATTTTTACTTCTAACCAATCCTTAATTAAAATAAATTCAAAAAAAATCAAATTTTTTCTTCGTTTTGCATAAGTTTTAATACTCGGCATTAAATTACAAAGTACATATATGATGTAATACTACTTGAATAGCACTAAAACATAATCAATTTCTCTAAATAGCAACATATGTGTTTTTTTCCAATGTAGCACTTTTAGTCATTATCCACTAGTCATTATTCACAGTGGCGGACCTAGACTCTCAAATGAGCGGTGTCAAGAGTAAAGATGTCGGAACTTCTCAGGCAGATTGTGTGGGCATGTGACGAGAGTTAGGAGGTGGCGTCTCCAAATTTCTTTTACCAATACAATAAGAAATAATACTCCCTCCGTTCCAGAAAGTGTAAACCCTAAAGGACGAGAAGTAGTACGCTTAAAATGTTAGCAAACAGCTCAGGTGACATAATTGTAGCTCAACTGATCGACAAGAAATGAAAGAGTATAATGTGTGATGCTTTGCAGAAAATACTTGCATGCATATATTAATAAGAGATCTCACTTTCTATTAACTACAATTAATAAGATTAAAATTTTATTTACCTCTTCATAAGAAAATGGAGTTATTATTCTTTCTAATAAGGTTACCAAAGGAAAACCCCATTAATGAATTAGCCTCTACCTACAACCATCCATCATAATAACTCACCACAATTATGCATGGTTGTCCGTGAGAATTAGTTGGAATTACTACTTAATTATACCCCCCACTCGGTATTCATAAATATGACAGAAAACCCACATTATCTTTATTTACTCTCACAATTAATTAATCAATCTAATTTAATGCTGTTGAATTTATTCATTCACGTACGTACAGGTTCAAAGATGCGCCGAGGACAGAACAATATTGATCACTACCTACGAAGGCACCCACAACCACCCGCTGCCGCCGGCCGCCATGGCCATGGCCTCCACCACTTCCTCCGCCGCCAAGATGCTCCTTTCCGGCTCCATGTCCAGCGCCGACGGCCTCATCAACTCCAACTTTCTCGCCAGAACCCTTCTCCCCTGTTCTTCCAGCATGGCCACCATCTCCGCCTCCGCCCCGTTTCCCACCGTTACTTTGGACCTCACCCAAAACCCGAACCCGCTCCAACTCCCAAAGCAGGCCACGAACCCGTTCCAGTTCTCGTTCGCGAACCCGAACCCGAACCCGAACTCGCCCGCTTTCTTGCCTCACCTCTTTGGTCAGGCTTTGTATAACCAATCCAAGTTCTCCGGACTCCAACTCTCCCAGGACTCGTCGGAGAATAATATTCACGCGCCGCTGCATCCGTCTCAGCTGGCGGAGACCGTTAATGCCTTGGCCACCGATCCCAACTTTACGGCGGCCCTGGCCGCCGCCATTACTTCTCTCATCGGGAACCCGTCCGGTTCCGGCAATAATAACGGCAGCGGTGGCAATGATGACGTCAACCGTTAGTTCAGAGCCAAACAAATTAAAAAATAGATATACACAAAACACATTAATTTCTTCTTGCCCTCCCTAAGTTTTTTCTCTTTTTCGTTCCACTTATTTGATTATATCTGCTTCCACTTTTATACCTTTTTCCCTTGTTATATTTTTCCTAGTGTTTGGAATCTCAGCTCGCCCTAAACATTTTTGTATTTCTAAGTTTTGCCTTCGCCTAATAATGTAATTATATATAGTATTTTTACTCAATGTATGCCGTTGACGAAATACAATATATGCTTCTTTGGTTTCATATTACACGGGGACACGGGGTGAACACAGGACGAGACGGTTCGGATTTCATACTGTTCCACGTCTTGTCCAGTTAGATTCAAACGGCTAGAAACGGTACGGACCGCAAGTTTATCCCACTTTGTTTCATAGATTGAGATAAAACAAAATGAATTCCAATGGATGATCCAAAAAAATAAGACCGGGGGGCAAACTCACACAAAATATAGTGATAAAATATAAATAAATTTAATTTCAAATAAGTATTCAAATAAGTAAAAAAACATTTTTAAGTAGAAAAATATAATATAAATAATATCATAACCTAATATAATTATAAAATTTCAAATATTTTACGTGTATATCTTATTTAAGTGATTATTTTTTTTACTTTTAAACTAGGATCTTCTTTTTCAGTAGGGGCAAACAATTTTTTTTACCAGGGGCATTCTTTTAATTTTCAAAAAAATATATTTTAACACTGTATATTTTAAAAAAGGTTGATCGGGGGCTAATGCTCTCATATTCATGCATGTAGATCCGCCCATGACGCGTTCAGATTGTCCTACTTTGTTCTTGTTTGAGGTTAGAGAAGAAATATACAAAAAAAATGGGGAGTAAACTAATTTCTAGAATTTCAATAAAATTATGAAAATTGAAAACAAATGGAGTATTTAATAAGAATATCTTAAAATAACCTACACAATACAACACCATGCAAAGATTAAAACAAAATTAATTAAAAAGGAGTATCACAAGTAACGAAGGAAGAATGCTAGATTTGGCCCAAATACTAATCCATGATAGCCTGCTATGGAGTACTCGGTATATATCTTGGGCCAAACATTAACAAGATGTTGCTGATAAGAAGTTTTTAACTTTTAAGCTGCTCATAAGCCAAATATTCTTTTGTGGAAGGAAAATTACTTGAGCGATAGAAAATTTATTTAAAAATATTCATAAATGGTGAGAGACAATTTTGTAAATAATCTGGTCAAAATAGAGAAACAAAAAATAAGCTTAAAAATAAATAAGTAAGACCTTATTTTTCGCCTTATAAGTAACTAGGAATATATCATCAGCTAATTTATAAGTTAAAAACGATTTATAAACAGTTTTGACTAGCTCATTAGCTCTGTTTGACATCAGCATTAGAGATTAACATTAGCGTTATGAGAATACTATCAAATGGTAGCCATTAGCGTTAGCATTTTTAAAATTAATCTACACTATTAAATTTTTATCTAAAACGCTAACACTAATCGAAACTATTGTTCCTAGACAAGATCATAAGCATAGAGAGACACTCACGTACTAAATGTCAAGGCATTAAATATATATATGTGAGTTGATTCGTTTATATATATATATATATATATATATATATATATATATATATATATATATATATATATATATATATATATATATATTATTAGAGTATATAAATTGAGACAAACATGATGGAATGATATACTTTTATGTTGTTCCGACAATGTCCCATTTAGAATTGAAACGTAATAAGTTCGGGACAATGAGAAACGGGCATCATATGAAGCAATAATGAGATCTGTAGAGAAATGAATGGGCAAAGTAATTTTTGTTTACAGTTATGGTGGTACAGGTAAGACTTTTGTGTGGAAGACTTTGTCTGGAGCATTATGGTCTAAAGGGGAAATTGTGCTAAATGTTGCTTCAAGTGACGTGGTATTACATCATTGCTACATGAGAATTTCCATAAGTCCACTTGAGAATTCCACATACAACATTAAACATGGAACACCGCAAGCTGAGTTACTCTTGCAATTAAACAAAACTTATTATTTGGGACGAGGCCCCTAATGACACATAAATTTTTCTTCGAGGAACTAAATCAAACTTTGTGTGATATTATGTTAGTGTGTGATCCAAAAAACATTGATGTAGCATTTGGAGGGAAAATAATAATTTTTGGATGAGACTTTCAGCCAAATACTACAATTCGTACCTAAGGGGACAAGACAAGACATCATTAATGCTATTTAATTCTTCATATATTGGTAGTTTTGTACAGTGATACGTCTCACTAAGAACATGCATGTACAACACATGGCTCATGACGTTAGCTATGAAAGTATGGTAGATTTTGCTAATTTGATAGCAAGTATTGGTGATGGTCTTGCTGGAGAAAAAAATGATGGATGTTGCTATTTAACTATTCCTGAAGATCTTGCAAAGCACATCAGATCTTGTGGCAGCAAATGTTTAGGCCACATATCCTGATTTCGAGAGTATTTTAAATGACCTCAGGTACTTGCAAGAAAGGGAAATTCTTGCCCTGACGTTAAATGTGGTTGATGTCATATATGACTACATGACATCAATAAATGTCGCTCGAGAAGCAAAGACTTATCTAAGCTTAGACAATGTTTGCAAATATGATTCAAATGTTGATGCCATATTTTACATGCATTCTCCATAATTCTTAAACAACATATGGGCATCTTGTTGGCCATGTGTGCAGCAATTGTCCTGTGGCGGAGGCTATGTGGGCCAAGTCATAATCGAATGTCGTGGGCGCTTGTGTGTTGAATGCACTATAAGGTTAGGGTATGCGCCTCTTTTAACAGCAATTGGTTTTAGAAGAGTTGGTAGCGCCGAGGTCCTAAAAGTGGTATCGGAGCCAAAGTCACGAGTTCGATTCCCAGCGGGAGCAATTGCTGAGAGGGAGATTGTTGGTCATGTGTGCAGCAATTGTCCCGTGGCGGAGGCTATGTGGGCCAAGTCACAATCGAATGTCGTGGGTGCTTGTGTGTTGAATGCACTATAAGGCTAGGGTATGTGCCTCTTTTAACACCAATTGGTTTTAGAAGAGTTGGTAGCGCCTGAGGTCCTGTGTTCCTATTAAAAATTGGGACACCGATTATGTTGTTGAGAAATATAGATCAATCTATAGGTTTGTGTAATGAAACTAGACTCATTGTCACAATATTGGGAACCCATTTAATTCAAGGAGAAGTGGTGGGTGGTTAGAATGCTAGGCCCTAAGAAGTTATTCGGCTTATTCCTCGACTTCCCCTCACGTCATCCAAAACACGAATTCCATTTAAATTCCAGGGGAAGCAGTTTCCATTATTTATGACATCCTGTCCAATGAAGATTAAAAAAAGTCAGGACCATATTGCTCAAGAAGCCAATTTTTAGTCATGACCAACTATATATTTATGTCTCATCATGGGTTGAAGGTCTTAATTTGCAAAGATGACATAGCCACTTCGAATACAACAACGAATGTGGTTTACAAAGAAGTTTTCCAAAATCTTTAATCTCTTTAGCGTTATCATGTTTCATTTTTATCTTCAAAGTTTGCATGTAATCTTTCAAATAAATATATTTAAACGTATTCTTTTATTTTCTAAAAGTCATTTTAAAAAATCTATATGAAATACCCTATACGCATACAATTATCCAAATTACTCTGTTGTGCAATGCACGGGTACGAGTACTAATATATTACAATTTTAAAGCGATTCCATAACGTTTCGAAATCGGACAGCGGGAACGGATTTCATGCCCACCCTACTCCATATAATGTAAAAATTAGATATGAAAGTGAAGGATAAAACCCACAAGACTTGTGGGGAGTCCACCATTCTTCTCTTATTATGAAAAATGAGGGTAAAGACTACCCAAATCAGTCTACAAGGGAGTCACACATAAGAGACAACACTTTGTGAGAGGAAAAGTAAAGAATATCACCAAAAAAGCAGAGGTAGATAAACCAGAAGCAATACAGACATCCTAGAGCTCTAATTGAAAATATGAACGGTCAGAATCAATCCATGTGAGTTTCAAACAAGCTCTGAAAATTTCAACGCGGTCCAACAGTAGGATCTTCGATGATTGACAGATTTGTGCAATCTATCAAGAAAAATACGGTGCTGAAAAATGATAGACAAAGGCCACTCTTCTTTCGGATATTTCTCACTTGCTGTCTCTCCACTTGCGCACCAACTCTCTGCTCAAAATAAGTCAGCAAAAAATCAGAAGGGAACAAGACCCAGGCTTCCAAAGGAAGCTTCAACTTAATTCATCATTGGGCCACACCAATAAGTTTGGGCTTCCACTTAACCAAACATAAGCACAAGCTAAGTATAAATTTATTTATGCAGATAAGTGGGTTGGACCTCAACAAATTCATGCCCATCCATATTATCTTGCGGTCTTGCAGCATGTCCTGCTTGGACTCATATAGTTGTCCACATTCACCCGTTTTTAAGGTCGGGATGGATGGGCCTGATCAACAACCCATCCCAACTTTGTGCAGGGTATATTTGTTTATAATACGTCTACTCAAGTTTGAGAATTAATTGTGTTGAACAAAGCTTTCATGTGATTATCTACAATTCTATTACCATGTGTCTCTTCATTTGATCTGTTTGGTTCTGATTTGATTGGAATAAGTTCGGATATTCTGGTGTAATCTGATCTGGTTTGATCAGATTATAATTATATTGAAAGTGTTGTTGATCTGATTCTAATAAAAATAAATGATAAGTAATAAATTGAAGAGAACAAGTTTTAAGTAGTTGAGAGATAAGAAATAGAGATCAAATGTATTTATTTTATCAAATAATCAAAAAATACATGCAAATAATCTAAAAATAATGAGAAAGATAATTTGCATTTGAATGTGAGGGAGGGTTCTCTACTTCAATTACAATCCTCCTTAGATTCCAATCGTGTTGGGATTAAACATTTATGGATGATTGAAGTTCTTGGTTTAGTCATCCATACTTCATAGTAACGGACTACCGGTTGACTCTGAATTGATTTGGCTGCAGCTTTCTTTCCGGTAATCTAAATCTTCTTCTCTAATCGTCCAATACCCTTTTTCAAATTGAACTGAATTCTTTTGGATCACGATGCAACTACTTTTCTTCCATCCCTGCGGTTTTTTTTCGTAAATTGATGAAAATTAATTGGGGACTGGATTTGATTCTTAGTCTACCTGAAAGAAGAAAAGAATGAGTCTTGTTGCAGGTCATAAATGGCCGAATTTTCACTTAGAGAAGCTATTAATGAAATCAATTGCTATTTACTTCAAAATCTTCACTTGATTTTCTTCTTTTCATCCTCAAACTGTACCCACCCAAGAAATAAGAAGATTGGGTCGAGTACTTCGAAGATAGTACTCAATTAGCACTACTACTATTGAATCAATGTCTTGTCTTTCTTTGCTTGTTTTCTGTTATACTGAGTATTGTTTTTTCTTGTTGTTTTTTATTTTTTTCGCGTGTTTAATCAGTCCAAAATAATGTTATATTTGAAAATTTATTTGTTTATTAAAGGAGTAATATTTGAACACAAGTAGCTATTTTTCATCATATTTAATGTTTTCTTAATATATAAAAATTCGTAGTATTATCTATCTCAATGATGTTAAAAACAATTAGTTCTTTTAATCGTATATTTGATGATTTCCTATAGATGTGTACCTTGTTGAAACATGACTTTTTTATACCATAGAAATATAACTTTTGCTTCATTTTACTGTTTTAGATATATGTAAATTGAATGTTTTAATTAAAAATTGAATCGTATTTATATTCATTTAAACATTATGTAATGTTCCGTTGCGGTCAACGAGGTTTTACTGAATTCATTTCATATATATTTATTTAAATAATGGTATAAAATTTTAAAATAAAATTCACATCAAGTGCTATTTAAAACATGATGTGACATGGGTATGTTATTTTAACAAATCTATAATGAATTTAAGCAGAAAAAGTTTAACTTGTGAATAGTGTATTGAGACTTTAGTTTTGGGACTGAGAGAGAGTATTATGTAAGTCATGGTTTGACTTAGCAGTGCATCCTCAAGGCTTTACCGTTATTGCATTGTTTGGATCAGTTATTGCATTGTTTGGATAATACTGAAAATGATGTGTTCACATTATTCACTTTTACTGATGAAAAGGAGAGTTAGGAGACAGCCTCTTTTAATTATTCAAACTTGTACATTTGTCTATAAGTACCTCCATATTTGTAGGAAATATTTACATACTAATATCATCAAAGGCATCTAAGAAAGTGTTAGTATTAGGGAGAAATTAGGTGGTCAATTTATCACAAGGGTATAATTATATGCTCATAATATATGGTCCGGGACTCATTATTACACACATTTATATGCAATTATGCATCATAACATTTACATGATCTAAAATGGGTGAGTTATAGATGCCTTCCAAAACAATACTATCATTTTTTTAATACATTTACAATTTGTTTTCATATACTCGTATGTCGTGTAGCAAAAAAAAGTATTCCATATGTCCCCAAAAAAAGTTCCACATTTCTGTAAAAATGTTTTACTTTCCATTTATGGGACTTATAATATTTCTCTTCTCTGCACCGCTTTCAACCATACAATTCATCTTTCTTAATAATTGTGCTGATTCCATTGTGGAACCTGTTGTGGGACGGAGGGAGTGTATATTTAAGCTGCACATGTTAAAAATGTTTCAGTTAATCTGAAACCCTCAAAATCTCAGCATAAACTTTTCCTTTCCTCAATTGATTAAAAAGTGAAAGTGTGCATCATTGTATTAACTGATGTCATGTTCTTTTGTGTTGCAGCTTTTAAAATGGGTATCCAGTTGAGACCTAGTGTGGTTGCACTTTTCTTGTTTCTTCTCTTCTCACCAACGGTATTGTCAGTATCAAATGATGGATTAATCAGAATTGGGCTTAAGAAGAGGAAATTAGATCAAATCAACCAGCTTGCTGAAACCATTGATTCAAAGGAAGGACATGCTAGAAGAAACTATCTCCAAAGAAATATGGGGAATTCTGATGCAGATAACATTGCTTTGAAGAACTACATGGATGCTCAGTATTTTGGTGAGATTGGTATTGGGACACTCCCTCAAACGTTCACTGTGATTTTTGACACTGGGAGTTCAAATCTTTGGGTGCCCTCTGCAAAGTGCTATTTCTCGGTAAGATACTCTAAAAACAATCTCATGTTATGCATTTCTATGATATGTTATCAATGCATGACTCCTTCCCTCTTTTTCCCTTATGGATGTAGGTTGCTTGCTATTTCCATTCAAAGTATAAATCAAGTCATTCAAGTACATACAAAAAGAATGGTACGTTACATGTAACCCCTACCACTTTCTTGTGGGAGACATAGATTTAGATTTCTTGTGATGATTACCATCTCCAGGATGTTTCTTTTTGGTGATATTCGTATGGTTTTCTAATAATAAGACTTTCCTTTAACTTCTCTTTACTTATATATCAAGGAAATATTACTCCATGTACTTGTAACAATATTTAGCATTTCTTCCAGTTCTAGCTTTGATTGCATAGTCTGTACCAGACTACATGCTTTATCTTAGAGAACAGTAACTCGAGCTCAGGAACAGTAAGAGGGGCTTCATTAGCTCGTAGTATATATTTGATTGATGAGTACTTTTAAATTAAGGATTCACTTCTTGATGCAGGGACATCTGCTGCTATTCAGTATGGAACTGGATCTGTTTCTGGTTTCTTCAGCCAAGACCATGTCAATCTTGGCGGACTGATTGTCAAAAATCAGGTAAAATCTTTAAAGAAGCACTTTGAATTAGTCCTCTTGAATTTACTTTTACTCTTACTTGTCAGGATTTTATCGAGGCAACTAAAGAACCAGGAATCACATTCTTGGCTGCTAAGTTCGATGGCATTCTCGGACTTGGATTCCAAGAGATTTCTGTTGGGGGTGCTCTTCCTGTCTGGTGTGTAACGTATCTACATTCCAATGCCTTTTTATTGAGTGATGATCATTCGATGTTTCATATTCCTAGGAATTTTAGTATCAGATGCACTATAACTGTTGTGAGTTCTTTTTTCTCCTTTTCGTGGCGAGACTTGTGTGCATTTCATGTGTTTTTCTGAATGGTGTAAATTTCTAAGCACAGAGCGCAGTCATCAACTGTCAACTTTTAAAAAAATCTTTATCATTAACAGGTATAATATGGTGAATCAAGGTCTTGTCAAGGAACCCGTCTTTTCATTTTGGCTTAATCGGGATTCTAAAGAAGATGAAGGGGGTGAAATTGTTTTTGGAGGAGTTGATGCTGATCATTTTAAGGGTGTCCATACCTATGTTCCTGTGACTCAGAAGGGCTATTGGCAGGTACTTTCCCCAATATTGTTCTTCAGCTAAGTTACATTTACCACAGTATTTTTCAGATTAGTTAATTTGTTTTTTCCTCTCCCAGTTTGACATGGGAGATGTGCTTATTGGTGGCGAAACAACAGGTAATTTTGAGAAATTCCAACTTGTGCCTGAGAAAATTATCTAGCTAAAAGAGTTTATTGTTCTTTTAAATATCCCGTGAAATGTAGCTAAATTTTCTTTCTTATTAGGATATTGTGCTGGTGGTTGTTCAGCCATTGCAGATTCTGGTACATCTTTGTTGGCAGGACCGACGGTGTGTTATCTCGTTTAATGTTCAACAGTTTATATATAAACGCAGACCATTATAATGCATAAATTTCAACATTTTAAGTCATGATCTCACTTTATTGAACCTTGCATTCTATCACATTCTCAGTTTACCCAGTTTACACTTTTAGCAGATTCTTATAATCAAAATTCAAAATTACCAACCTTGTTTGGTGAAAATGAGAGGTTTAAATGCCATCACGGTCTTTTTTTATTGAGTTGTTGGTAATGGCAGTTCGGACCCTTTAGTGCTATTTAGTTATTATTTCTATCGAGAAGGGGATCTTTTGACATTGAAAAAAATGACATTAAAATGACACTTGTATGGTGCTCCATTGGTAAAATTTGATGGTTTCTACCCACCCTACCCCCCGCCCCCTCTCCCCTTGATTGCTAATTTGGGAGGGGGGGTAAGGGGTAGGAACCATCAATTTTACTAATGGAGCACCGTAGGTGGCCGTGTCATTTTCATGTCAAAAGATCCATTTTGTATTTCTCTATATTCAAAATGAAAAGGTAAATGGGGCTCGTGGGTGCACCGTTTCATTTTGTGGGAGTTTGCTTACCATAACTATCACTTGCAGACTGTAATAGCTCAAATCAATCATGCAATTGGAGCTTCTGGGGTTATAGGGCAAGAGTGCAAGTCAGTAGTGGCCAACTACGGAAAAACTATTCTAGATCTGCTGCTGAGTGAGGTATATATTGTTGTACCAATTGTTTCAAATTTATTTTGTAAAGATGAAATATGCTATTTCATGCTAATCGTGTTTAGATCTTTCCAAATGTTTGATATAATCTATGATCATTTTTCATGATATTCTTCTTTAGGTAGCACCAAAAAAGATTTGCTCCCAAATTGGTCTGTGTGCATCTGATGGTACTCAGGATGTGAGGTGAGCTCTAAAGATATCTTAATATTAACACGAAATTTGACATTTAAAAATTACTCCCTCCCGAAAACAAAGTTTACGGTTTGACTTTATGGAGTTTAATAAAAGTGTTGAAAAGTTAAGTGTATGATGAAATTTGTTTAAAATAGAGAAATACTCGCTCCGTTTTAGCGCTATTTATTGTACCCTTTTTTAGTTTAATAATAATCCCATTTTATTTCATTTCAAGGTACAAAACATTTAATGTAGGAAGAGTAAGAATGACAAAATATGGAAGATTTGTAACGAAAAAAATTGTAACAAGTTATCGCAGATGATGTTTTTGGGCCTAACTTAATCAATAAATGCGAATATGCAGAATGATCATAGAGAGTGTAGTGGACAAAAACAACGAAGCTTCTCACGGGGCCCGTGACGAAATGTGTGTTGCATGTCAGATGGCAGTTGTATGGATGCAAAATCAACTCAAACAAAACCAGTCTGAAGAGAAAATCTTGGATTACATCAATCAGGTGGAGTGGACTACTTTAGTGATGTAATAATGTGAATGTCAATTTTTTTTGCTCCCATACCCTTTAAGTTCCTCTTTTTTTTTCGCGAACAGCTCTGCGATCGCCTGCCCAGTCCAATGGGAGAATCTGGCGTCGACTGCAGCAGTATTACTTCCATGCCTAATGTTTCGTTTACAATCGGTGGAAAATCATTTGAACTAACACCAGAGCAGGTAAACTTTCATGCTTTCCCCCTCATTTTATTGATGATTGGTTGCTCTACGGTCCATTGCCAATGGATCTAAAAGAGTGTCTATTGAAACTGTTTTAGCTCCAGGCACAAAAGGGACACAATCAAAATGATACATTGAAATGGAGTTGGAATTATATTGGGTTGTTTTTGTTGATAATGACTGGTTTTTATTGATCATCAGTATGTACTCCGAGTCGGTGAGGGTTCTGCAGCGCAATGTATTAGTGGGTTTACAGCTCTAGACGTGCCTCCTCCTCGTGGACCCCTGTGGTATGCTTCCATACCCTTTTCGTCTTTTTCCAAAATAAACGTCACACTTTTTTCATTCTTTTTAAAAGGAAATGAACGTGTGGCCCAAATCATTTCTCTCACAACAATTCGATCACTTGGAATCGTGCAGGATCCTAGGAGACATTTTCATGGGTCGGTACCACACGGTGTTCGATTACGGGAATGCAAGGATTGGATTTGCTGAAGCCGCTTAATCGCTTAGCTTCTCGCGTCTGAATTTCCAAATCCGCCCTTTCGTTGACATTAAACTAACCACTATGCACATATAATCAATATGAATGAATAATTATGATACACTCTCCATGAAACCATGAATACTAAAATCATCTAGCTCATGGCTAAACTTTCTTCTCCCTTATTTGGTCACGTTTGCGCGTTCATACTTTACATATTCAATATCTAACCGTACAATTTCACTTTTTTTTAAAATCACGTGCAATATTCCTTGGGTCCTACCCGGTAGGACCGGGGGAGCTTGTAGTACAGTTTGCAGTAAGGGCAGTGGTGACCAAGAGAAGAAGGGACACCACCACTGAGAGTGCAGAGAGAAAGAGCATTAGGATGTGTGCCTCTCTTCTCTTCACTTCCTGTGCATATTTTGTTGAGGCAATGGCAATCACTGTTATAGGAAATGAATATGCCCACCACACCACGTTGTATTTTCTCATTGACTCCCTGAATAATGTGGGTCGACACACCTTTTTAAAAAAAGAAAAAAAAAACAAAATAAAAATAATCAGTAAATTGTTTTACTGAAATTAATTAATACAGTATAAATTATATAAACTCCGTATAAAAGAGCAAACTATCTTGAGATGCTCAAAAAATATTTGGGTCATGGGTGTTAAGGCTCTATCCACTCGATTTAGGACCCCTATCAGTCTTTATTTGCTAACAAAGGATGAGCCGTATCCTCGAGGGTATCTTCAGATCCGGCCGGACGGTCAGTACTTGCAGAGACTATATACTTAGCATAGTTATTTCCCAGTGCAGTTGTTAGGAATCAAATTCGGGTGTACCACTTGGTACTTCTTATTTACCCCTCCACATCATCTTATCCCCCCTTCATTTTTCTCCATTAATGATTTCTTTAAAACTCAAAGGGCACATACCAGGGACATGAAAAGGAACAAGGAGAGGTAGAAGAACATCTTGGATAGAGTGTCGAAGCTCCCGGAGATGGAGTCCCACGCTAAGCTCGCCATGCTCGGGGCGGCGATGAATAGGAAGAAAACCGGCCGGAGCATCACCGGAATGGAGCTGCTCCCCGGCAGCCGCTGGTAGAGCGTGACGAAAAGGACCAAGTAGTGGGCCATGCCCAGGGCAAACATGCACACGGCGGTCTCCCTCCACCCCAGCCGAGCTGCCGCCGTGGCGCCCACCAAGTTCCCGACCACCGAGAGCTGGCTCGTCGGGTTGGCGATGCCGGAGAGGAACCGCTTCCCCTTGGTGAGCCACTGGCCGTATATCTTGAGATCGAGCACGATGATGGGCGCCACTAACACGTACCAAAGCACCATATAATACGGATTCTGGGTCGTCGACCCTGAAATGAGGGAAAAATCATACGTATATAAAAGCTTTATGCAAAAAAGTACTCCCTATTTTTTGCTTTGATTGTTTTGGATGGAGTTTTATTTTAAAATTAAGGTTGAATTTTAATTTTTCATCCATGTGTATTTCTTTAATGTGAAATTTGTACTGAATAGGACTAAAACATAAGTCATTTCCCAAGACTTAAACTTTTTTATTCCCTAAATAGAACTTAATAATGACTAGTGAGAAGAATAATGTCCAAGTGATGCTGGACATTTAGTTGAATAATGACTAATAGATAAGGACCAATGATCCTACATTGAGAAATAAAAACATATGATCCTATATTCAGAAAGTCATTATGTTTTAGTCCTATTTATGTAAATTACTCTTTCTTAATATGTAAAAAAGGTGAATTCCGAAATACTTCATCCATCTTAAAAAAAGTTTCATCTTATACTACAATAAAGTAAGAGCATAATTATTAATTAACACCAAAATTACACATTTTATAAAAGTTTAATATCAGTGGATTCATTTCAACATGTAGTTTTGAAATACTGCGTATCATATTTTTAAAATCTACAAATATATTCATATAGAGATATTAATGGTGAAAGTGTTATATTGGAAATCGTAAAAGGTCAAAATGCGAGCTATTAGGAAGAAAAATATGGGGCATAGGGAGTTGAACTCTAATATCACAAACATGGCCTTATTATTATGTGAAACATAAATTACCGGTAGAAAGAGGAGGAGCGGGTTGATTGAAGAAAGGGGTGGCTTGGAGCAAGAGGAGGCCGGAGATGGAGGGGGCGAAGAGGTAGTTGACGTGGACGTGGTGGCGGAACTCCTCCCTGACAACCTCGAAGCAGAGGAGGCAACGGGCGGCGTAGAGGAGGGAGAGGGAGGCGAGCACGAAGAGCGCCAGCGACCAGAGGAAGACGAAAGCGGCCGAGGGCAACATGCGGACCACCTCCCCGAAAGAGTGGTTAAAGTCGTCGATCGACGTCGTGTCCCTCGCCAGTGTCTTCCAGAGCAAGGCCTGGCTGGAGAGGGAGAGGCTTATTCTGAAATACCCGGCTTCGAAGCCGGACAAGGTTTGGCGAATCATTATCAACCGGTAATATAGCGCGGCGGCTTTCCCAAAGCCGCCGCCGTTTTTGCCCGTTGATGGGATTTCTGTGTCTTCATCTTGTACTCTAGATATGTCAATGGTGTGGGGGTTTGGTTCTTGGGGTTGAGGGAGCTTGGAGGACGCCATTGAAATGGCATATAATTAACCAATGGGGGATTTTATTATTTGTGTGCATGTGTGTGTATGAGTTAAGCAGGGGGGGTTGGTGGAGGAAGTTAAGTTGACTATGGGGTTGGGAAGTGGGGGGTGAGTAGACCGTTTAGACGGTGGGGGAGGAGGCATAATTGCAATTTACCAAAGATACCATTACGCTAATTAATTAGCGTCGTTGAAAATATATCTTACGCAGTGTATTGATAAATGCTGATCGAATATTATTTCATCAATCCAACCTCTCTTAGCTTGTTCGGGAAGAATAAGCATATTATACACCCCTACCTATAATACATACTCCCTCCGTCCTCCAGTTTTTGTCCACTTTTGATTTTTGAAACTGTTCATCTAACCACTTTGACTCATCAAATTCTCTCAATGTGTAAGCCTAAATATAGTCATGTGTGATCTTGTTTGATTTGTCTTAACATATAGATTATTAATATATAATTTCTATAATTTTTTAATATATAAATTACAAGATAAAATGGATTAAAGAAGTGCATTGGATGGTGTGCAAAAATAAAAGTGGACAAATACTCTGGGACGGAGGGAGTATATTATATTCTTAAATACGAATTTTTTGTATGACAAACAAATAATGCACACATTTTTTTTTATCCCAAACGTATTTACGAATTTTATACATATTGAGTCGAGCCCGGACGGATGAACTACTTTTCTTTTATCGTTGAACCCCATTTGTCGTTAATTTTTTTCTTTTTCTTTGAAGTGTTTTATTAGGGCACAATTTTAGTCCATTTGAAGACACTTTTTTAAATATGTACATTAAAAAAAAATCTTATTTTTATTTAGAAAATTAGAAAATAAAAAAAATCACACACCCCCTGACCCCCATATCCCATGCATAGATCCGCTCCTGATTGGTTGCACATAAGAATTTGCAAAAAAAAAAATAATCCAGTTCACCTTAAAATACATCTGCCACAGCTTGCTGCCTGCTGATTCTGAGATTGTCAGCAAGAAATGCAAGACTGGAAGCTTTTAATCCCTAAACAAAGGGCCAAATATTTTGGCATTTTGAGCATTTCGTTGCCGGCCGAGCAGTCAGCCATTTCGTCATGGCTCCAAACGCTTATTGGGGTGCTTAACAATGCGGCGTATAAGTTCAAGGCCATTCATTCTCTTCTGCCTCCCCTGCTGCAATTGTGCATTTCTCTGGTTTTTCGCGCATTCTGAGAAATAGCACTTTTGCCTCCTAAAATAGGGAAATCTGTACGTCTCATATCCCGTTCCAATGAGAATGACGACATACCAGCTCCATCTCTGAACAGTTTCTCTGTGCCAAGATAGGGAGCGCGGCTATGGTGATCACTTACAGAATGTGATGCTCTGTGTCTTCTATGGTCGCATTTCAAGCAGACCATATTTCTCCTGAAGTTTATGTAATTGCACCTAACATAACACATCATCCTCGAATCATGAATAATAGAGAGAATTTATAAAGATGAAAAATGATTTGCTCAAAGTTTGACAGGATTTCTTCAACAAAAAAAACATGCGTACGATTCGCACTCCCATTCTCCAGGATGAAGCAATCGCTTTGGTGGGTTCTCCTTGCACTGTAAGCACCTCGAATTCTTTGCAAAGTTCAAGAAATTACACCTGCAAGAAGTTTATAGCCACATGTTGCAGAACTTATTGCCATATGAAATTGCACTGTACATTTCTTGAATTCTCACTTGTCACAGATCCAGTCTCCCTTCTTCAATGGAAGATTGTCCTGCTGCAAAACCCCTAGATTGCGGACTCGTTCTTGGGACAGTCCGTTACAGCTTAAACATTTGATATTTCTTGCAAAATTCAAGAAATTGCAACTAGAGAGGGTGACGTAGAAGACGAACACACACACACAAAAAAAACAAATATTAGTATGTAGAAGCAGACCACTACACAATGAAAGATGTAATGAAGAATGCACTAGAAGTTACTTTGTGCATAACCAATCGCCTGGCTTCAGTTGAACATTCGTCGGGCTGTCTCTATGATTTTCTGCAATTTCTTGTGTTGAAGACCACCTAACTTTAACATCACTCTGGGTCTCGTTACCACCACCAACTGCCCTTCTACTGAATTCCACAGTTTCTTTCAGTAACTTTCTTACTGATTCCTGCACTCTTTTGTCTAGGAAGGGTGTGTTCTCTACTCGACAAAATATTGGATCAAGCCCGTACGTCAGTAGAAAACGCATCACATCCACAGTGGGTCCCCCACCTTTATCCTCGTGTACCTTCACATATGCCCGCTCGCAGTTCCCACGCAGTGTGCAGGAGCTGCACACCTAATAATTAAACCATTTAGTAAGTCCAATTGATAGGTAGGTACATAAAGTTGTAAATGTGCAACTGAATCTCAACTTCTCAATTCATACATTTCCCTCATCAATGCCGAGATGTGCCCTTAGGCGCTTCCCAGAGTTGACAACTTTTCTATCTATACTAGGGCATCCAGCTTCTGCAATCACTTCAATATCCTTTCGTGACAGGTATCTGATAGCTTCACAAACAGGCTAAATCAGTCATTGGACAAAAACTAATCCATATAACACTTCATATCCAATTTCGACCCTTGTCATATCATAGAAATATCACCTATAGGTATGACTGCAGCGGCTAATTTGAATATGGGGGCTAGAACTATGCACATTACCTTGTCTCAGTAGTGCACAAGTCCAAAAAACAATTATATTTTAGTGTTTATCGCTAACAGTCAATCATTAAACTATCCACTCCGTACTTATATAACAGCCGGAAACTGACCTGAATAGTTTTGATTTATTTATTCAACATATCTTGTGTTTGTATGATTATTACTTTGATTGTTTATTTGTTTATGCCTTCTACTGTGAAGCAAGCTAGAAAAAAATCGTGTATGTAAAACGCAAAACCTAGTGCCACGGCAAAACAAGTGTAATGGGCTAACCATCATCCCATAGTCTCGACTCGGCAAAAGGAAGTAAAACAACTGGATCAATTCTCAGGACAAGAGTTTAGGCTTCTGCAATGGATATCATCCCAATTCGTAACACAACACCAACCCAGTAAGGATCCAAAAAGGACGATTCAGGAGGGTAGATGGATGCAGACCGTACCCATATCCATAAAGGTAAGGAGGCTATTTCCAGAGTGGCTCTTTGAGCCAGAGCTCGAAGCTCGTATATAAGCTGGAGATGAGAAAACAGGCTATTTCCAGCGGACTGAGCCTCAGGTGAAAGGGGAAATAAATCACACAACTGTATTAATCAAACAAATTGTGTACTCGCCCATATACACATACCAAACCATAGCTTTTAATCTAATGGAAACTCCAATTCAAATAATAACCTCAGCACCCATCAACTGAAACATCTTCCTGGCAGAATGAGTTTAAGAAGATAAAGAAAAGCAAGTGTATAATCACCTCACAAGATCAAATTTATCGCGAGCGAACTTCAAACAAGCAGTGAGTATTTGGTTGCGCGACTCATCATTTCTAGGAAAGGGATTGCCGTCTCCGGGGAAATATCCATTCTTGACTAACTCTTCAATCATATCAACCCATTCCGGCCAAGGGTGAGATGCATTTCGAACATCGGAGCCAGATTCTCTGCATCCCGGAATCTTTCCATTCCCAGGAGAAGGCCGTCGAATAGGCTCCTGCGAAGACTGGTTGTCTTCCTCGGCTTCTTCAAGAATTAATTGGATTGCAGGGTTGGAAGTCCGGGTTACGCAGTGAGAACGGGATGTAGGGTTTCCGGGTTTGGGGATTATGGGTGCTTGAAAAACGATTGAATTCCTGGTTGCCAATGAAAACAATAGCCTCAACATTTGGTTGAGCAGTCTGTGGAGGTTGGGCTTCGTTTAAAATTTAAATTTCCATGGCTTTAGAGGGTCTTGAAGGTTTATGTGAAAACAAATTTTAAAATTGTAAAAAAAAATGAGGCAGTGTACCCATCGAAGTCAATGTCCAACCGGTTGGACAGCCGGTTTCCAAAATATTGATTATATTTTCTTATTAATAAAATTGATGATTCATATATCTCTAACTTTTAACCTCTGCCTGCCACCCTTGCCGTCTTTACCCCCAACAATGATGTCCTGGAAAAGGCTTTTGTCTCCAAAAAACTTATCTGTGGATTTTAAGCATAATCATGCTTTGAATGTTGCTATGTTGGGTAAGCAGGCGTGGAGATTGTTGTTTAACTCAGGTTCCCTCGTCGCACGACTTTTCATTCCTCGTTATTACCCAACCTCCTCTTTCCTCGAGGCTAATTTAGGAAGAAAACCGAGCTATTGTCGGTGCGTATTGTAGAAGTAAAGCATTTAACTCAAAGGTGTATTGGCAATGGTGTGGAAGCAGGGACATTCCTGGTGAGTCGTGATTTGATCTTCGGAGCTTGTCGTTGTTTTTATGATGCTGCTTTTTTTCCCAAGTCATGAGGAGTTCATTCCGAAGTCTTCTCCTAGACGGTGGTGATCGCTTTTTTGCTGCGATTAATAGTAGAAACAAGTGTTAAAACTTTAGGGCTGAAAAACTCGTTTATAGTTGGTTATTCCAAATACTTTGGTCACTCAATGTTTATCTTGTAATCACTACTATATAATAAGTGTCACTCAATATCTTATAACTGTTATAACAATAATCAGGAGCGTAGAATAAATACTCACTCCATCACTCCCATTGTAAACAGATCCAAATACTCCCCTATCTACGTACTACATACTTTCTAATTAAACAGATATTATCTTGTAATAAATCACGACTCACGAGCAGAATCTAGTTTTTTCTTGAAGAAAATGTCTCCAGTCTTATTTTCCATATAATCACAAAAACATCATTACAAAGATTGCGCATTTATATTCTTTTGTTCTTGACACAAATATGGCAGACACAAACTTGACAGAACAAGTAAAACCACGACCAAACATAGAGTCAAGGGACAATCTTGTGAGCCTTCACCTTATCAATCCAAGAAACAAAGGCCTTCTTGGAGTTCCTAAACCCCAAGAACCCATGTTCTTTGCTCTTGTTCATAGTATCCAGGGGACACCCTCCACCCAAGATGAGATCCACAAACCACCACACCCCAACCTCTTCCAATTTTGTGGGAACCAAATCATGTTTCTTCACAATCTCATCCCAAACACCGCCTTTCCCCTCCATCTCCTCCTGCAGAGCAAAGCTCTTCCCCTCCTCGAACTCCCCTGCTTCCACCTCAAACTGCTCCGCTAAGACCTTCCAGAAATGCTTCCACTTGAACACATCCCCATTGCTCACATTGAAAGCTTCGTTCTTCGCGTATGGGTCCACGGCTGCCCATATCTCCTGCTCTGCAATCAAGTCCGCGTCGGAGCAATCCGAATACTCTTCCCACGCGGCTTTCGCGCCGGGGAATCTCAGGGGGACTCCCTCGTGCTTGCATATGGCCGCGTAGACGCAGAGGGTTCCAACAATGTTCATCATGCTGTAGGGGGAGAAGCCATGGATCGTCCCAGGGCGATGAACGGACCAGGTCAATCCGTTCTTCTTCTTCTTCTTCTTCACCTCTTCGAAGAGAATGTCCTCTAGGGTGTAGTAGAAATTGGGGGAATCCAATCGGGGCAAATCCTCGTCGTAGGGCGGGTCGTGGGCCAGTCTCAGGTACGATTCGAACGGCCCCAAGTAGTGTTTCCGGCCCGTCTGCAAGCAGATGTGGGTCAAATTAGGGCAATTGGGGATCACGGCGTTCAGGACGTTCCTCAGCATTCTCCCGTTGGCTTCGCAGTTCTCCAGCTCCGTGGATCGGTTCGTCCACGTCACGTAGAAGACGTGCGTGATGTCGGTGAGATCGGAGAGCTTGGAATCGGCGTCGTCCGGATCGGAAACATCGCACTGGACGTATTCGATCGGGTGATCGGAGTTCCAGGACGGCCTGGGACGGCGGCCGACGCCGTAGACCTTCCATGGGCCGCCGGGCGTGTCAGCGAGAGGGAGGATCTCGGCTAGGCTGTTGCCGACAATACCGGTGACTCCGACGACTAGAGCTACGCTCTCGTGCTTGGGTGGCGCGTCATCTTCCTCGATCCTTTTCCTGGCGGCGCCAATGGCTCCGGCCCACCACCAGCTCATCTTTCAGATAGTCTCGAGGCAATAATAAGTGTGTGGGATTGTTGAAATAAATGAAAGGTCCTTTTTTGCTTTTTGTGCTAACAAAATGTACTTGTGTTACTCTTACTCCATGTCTTAGGTCGCTCGAAACACGTTTAAAGTCCGGATATTTAAATTTGGGCTTCAAATTCTTTAAATTTGGGCTTCAAATTCTTTAAATTTGGGCTTCAAATTTTACAGTTTCACTAGAGATAGGTTTGAAATATCGAGAATTCAAGCTGTGGTTCAAATCTTTATTTTTAAAATTCTTTAATACACATTTTATAAAAGTAAATTAGTAAGATCTTACAAATTAATTGAATTAATAACAATAATTTATTAAATAAAAAAATACATTCAATAAAAAAACATTAAATTAAAAAAATTACATTAATGAAAAAACTAAAACATATTATATTTCACCGTTGGAAGGGAGAGGGCCCGCGACCTTATTCCTTCCTTCCTCCGTTAAACGTTTGATAAGGGACCAAATGACACCCGGATAACGCGCTTGAAAGACGGTGTTTAATGCCCTCATGACGTTATAATGTCGAAAATGCCCACAGGCGTCACTGGTATTTCCAGTCCTCATTTTTTTGTGGAAGTTATTTTTTCTTGGTTCCCATTAATAAGAAAAGAAAAGAAGAATTCATCTTTTTCAATGTTTTAATACAATACTAAAATAAGACTTGTCATGCTATAAGGTGTTAATATATTATACCAAAAGCAGTGTGAATCGCTAACATATAATGCCAAGTTATGTCATAGTATTACTGTTCTTATTTAGATGATTAAAACATAAAAAAATTGTATTTTGATACGGTGTATTGTATAAGTTCAATACTTTCGTCTATTTTGGTAGATTTCTTCAACGAATATGTTATAAGTTTTAGACAGTTAGTATGATATTAGGTCTGAAATATGAAAAAATGATATGAATTCTAAAATGAAAAATGATTGGAGTGATTTCAAATATATAGGCGGCAGGGGTACCTGACGATAGTGAGTGGGTTGTGGGGGTGGCCGGCAGGATATGGGTTGCCGGAACGAGTGTCCAGCGGTTAAAAAGATATCAAACCTTAATCTAATTTAGGTAAACACTTACAAAAAAAACATCTTGTACATAAAACAACTCATATCTCATCAGCTCATCAAATAAATCATAAAATCAAATTCTTAAGGGGTTGGATAACACTTGGATCATCGATGGTGCATGTAAGGGTCATCATCTTGGCATTGATGCATAAATAAATTGAGCTTGAATTTGGTACACTACATATACTCATTTCATGCCGAGCATGTTTGCCAATTTGTCATAGTTGTAAGGAATTGAACTCAAATTCCCTTGGTCAATCAACTATATACGCCGCACACACAAACTTGACAAGTAGGCCGTTAGGAATGGGTGCGTTTTAAATGCACTTCAAGTCGAATTACATTCGTATCAATATATTTCCGATCGAATTTAATTCCAATTAAAACAATTTGAGTCGAATTGGTGTAATATGCTTCGGTTCAAGTTCTGCTGAAGGAGAAAACAAGGGAGCCACGTGGAATGAAAGAGGAAAATATGACTTCCGGATATTAATCAAAAAGTCAAAATTCAGATATCGGCTTTCATTTTCCATTGACTTGGATTTTCCAAAGTTACCAAACGCAAGAAAATGAGAAAAACGACTTCCAGAAGTCATTTTCCTACCTTCCGAACGGAGCCCAAGCCAAAATGAATAAAATGAAATGAATAAAGACATTTTTCCAAATACTTCAATTAAAACAAAATTCAGATAAATAAAGATCAAATATCTGGGAAATATGAAGTGCAGTGGAATGGTGTTAAATCAGAGGCATCTCCATGTGTGTGTGTGTGTGTCCATTGACAATGTGTTTATGGGATTGAGCGACCTAATGCCCTACCACAAAGAAGAGCATTGCTTGGAATTGGATACTCATCTCTCCATGAATTTGCTGGGGAATAAACTCTAAGGTAAAGCTGTTGGCCCAAGTATTGGCGTGCCCAGTTCTGTGACCTTATGTTCCATATTCCCACATTGTCTAAGGGCATATACAGTGCTGTCCAAGACTTGGGGTACACCTGAAAACCAAAAAAAAAAATGATAACAAGGTGGATAAATAGGGCATGTAATGTCAACTTTTAGACGATTATCAATACGTAAAAGAATGTGGCTTGCATAAGAAATATTATTTACAGGTCACGTTATTTACCTGAACTGTGGAACGAGAAATTGCGTCCCTTAAGTTGTATGCCAACCTGCTTGATGGGTTCCACTGTCCGCCATCCATCCTGTTTGTTAAACAAGTTAGGGTCTCTTTGTTTGGACTGGAATTTATGAAACTAAATTGAATTGGAAATAATCAGATAAAGTTGAGAATAAAAACCTTAGTACGAATAACACTTTGAGGAACGCAATTTACAAATTCAAAGAGAAACTCACCCGACAACGAAGAAATGGTGGCCATCGGTGTGCCATGACTGCACTGTGTCTTCTGGGTTCTCAAACACCAGCTCCACAAAAGCTCTGAAATCAGCAGCCATGACAGAGGTTTGAAGGTATCCACCAGAACCAGTAGGCATGTCATTGATGCTTCCAAGTGTAAAAACCCCCTGAATCTTGAAGTAGTCAGCAAGTTTAAGCGGCGTATCTGACGGAATAAATGATACACTGTTCACTGCATATCGTTGTTTTCCATTGATGATTGGAGCAGAGTTGGAGAGTCTAATTGTCCGTGTGGTGTTGATCAGTCCATAATGGTATGAGCCTTGGGGATTCGGTCGTGGTCCGCTAGCTGTTAGGTTCCGCCTGTTTGATCAAATTCATCTTAGACCATATTTGGCATGACATAATATAATCTACATGACTTAATATAGTCTAGCTATTAGCTTTTTCAAATTGAAGCTTTTCATTTAAGTTGTGTTTGGTTAGGGGAATTTATTTTTCAGTTCGAACTTATTCTCAAATAAGTTACATGAGATATTTTTCTTCTAACCTCATATCATATTAAAAGTATTTAAAACATACGGAGTATAGTTTTATCATTTTGAACTTCTTAATTAGCTTATCAGCTACCCCTTTCCTCCCAGAAAAGAGTCCCTAATACTCTGTGGAAGAGTTGTTTCAAGAAAGTCACCATTAGGTCTCAAGAAAAATTCCTTTAAAGCCAAGAGCTGGTGGCTTGATTGAACTTACTAAAACAAACTCTCTTTTGGGATGGCTTAGTAAACCAAACACAAGCCAGCTAGCTTGTCAATCATATTATAAGTACACATGCATATTACCATTGTTCTTTACCTGACAGATCTGGCTTGATTCAGAGACCAGTCAATTTGAATAGTTGGGCCACCCGGTGGAGGTCCAGAAACGCTTCCCTGTGAGTTACCATAGTGGAGACTGGAAGTGGACATGATCACTGGGGATGTGAACCGTGTGGAGAAGACAATATAGTAATCTTGTGCAGGTTGATCAGCAGTCACCAACACCGAATAGGACTGCCCTAAATGGATGTCGAGGGAATCATAAGTATTTTGCAGTGTATGTGTGCCTTCTACCTCAACCAGTAGCATTTTATGCCCCTGGATTCTGAAATTCAAAGATGTTGCAAGGCCAACATTTGATATCCTGAACCTGTATGTTTTGCCTGAACATACCCAAGTTTCACAAACCATTAATACGATCTCTTAACTTCATTTGTTATAACTAGTACTTTTCAGTAAACTGCTTGTCTAGTAGCTAGAATCATTCTCATATTTGGACATGTAGTTCATTATTTCTACAACATAGGAAGACTTTTACAGAGGAAAATTTAGAATAACACCTGATCACAAACTTTTGTTCTAACGGAAAATTTGTTGTTAGCTTATTTTTTGTTTTAAATTGATGGGTAAACGCCCACATAAGCACATTGTCACTGAAAGATTCCAAATTAGGAAACATGTGATTCACACTTAATGAAATGCAGTTACATTTTGAATTTATTGAAATGCAAATTGGGCAACAACAACAACAACGAACCCAGTGAAATCCCACAAAATGTTGTCAATGAGCAAATTCGGAAAAAATAATGAATTCCTAGAGCATCATAAGGGACCAAAGGGATGCGATTTTCCCATTCTTTTCAACCCACAATCCAGACACATACCTTGATCAACTCCAAATCTATAACCGTTGGATCCACGCCCATTGATCAGAATCCCATCTGGGAATGGCAGGTCTTGCCCATTATCCAATGTTGCTTTCAAGGCCTTGAAAGTGCACAAGATCAGATAGATAAAATAAAAAAGAAATAATGCAATAAAGACCAAAGAATTTTTGTTGAAGTTATGTTCCTCACAGTGTGGTTTTGCTTGAACCAGTCACCAACTAGTATAGTGAATTCCCCGTCAGGGTTGGAAAAAGGAACAGGGATGCCCGGACGGCTGCCAATATTGATGGCACCAAAGCCTCCCGCAGCCTTGTGGAAAGAAAGGGAAGGGAAGTAGAAGAAGCTGCCAATTTGATCCTTGACCTGCATGACGTAAGTGAAATTCTTTCCAGGAGGAATGGGACAATTGGTTCCAAAAACTCCATCCTGCCATGAGTTCCTCCTCTGCTCGACACCATTCCTGTATATGCACAAGCGGAACGTCTAACCAAAATCTATAACTGTCATCTTATTAACAGGTTCCTGGTTTTAAGCATTTAAAACCCAGATCCGAACATTACCAAGGCATCTAATGCTTTAGTTTTATGTTTACAATTTCCACTTTTCTGAAAGTGAAAACAAAAACATGGTTTTGAAAATCAGGAAGTATAAGAAACAATAATTTTATGATTTCATTGAATATGTTTACAATATTGGAATAATTAAAATAAAAAAAATCTACCAAACATATATATTTTAGAAATTTGAACAAGAAAAAGAGGAAAACAAATTAAAAACAAAATGTTAAAAATTTTAAAACCAAAATAGGAAATGCTAGCAAAAAGCCCGAAAATAAGGGAAATGACGTGCTTAAACAACTGCAAAGTTTCTCTTTTGTTTATATAACCGCTGCTAAAACAAAGTTTCAAGAAAGGAATTAAATTCAAAATCTGGCTCAAGAGAAGATCCACAAGGTTCTCATTATTTAATGCAGTGATGCATCAAGAGAATGTAAATGAGACAAGAAAAGAGAGTGCACATATATATATTTAAAAAAAAGTTGAGGAATGCATAAAAGAGGTACCAAGAAATGAGGAAAGGTTCATCCAAACTGTTGTAAACATTGACAATCAAATTATCATTGGTCACACACTCAATATTCGGACCGGGAAACTGCCCATTGATCAAAATTCCCTGCGACAATTCATCGAACACATTAAGCTCATTCCTCAAAGAAGAAGAAGAAACAGAGACAGAACAATTTGCAGCATCTACACACCTGTTGCTTGACTCCAAGCGGGTAGATATCACCATAAGTAACATTCCATGTAAAGAACCGGTACGGATCGTCCGCTTCGACGACGACATTCCCCAGCACAATCACCATTAACCAGCACCAAGAACTCATCTTCTTCATCCTCTCCTCTGACTTCGCCGCGAAGCAAAACCCACCTTTTCCTGTTCCGGAAATTGACCCAAGGGGTGCGGGGAGTCTTTATCGCAACATAGATCCTTCTTCTTAAGGAGTAATAACTGGTAAAGAAAGTAATTCCGCAGAAGGGTAATAAGGAAAAAGGGGGGGTGAAAGTGTCGGTGGTGGGAGAATCTGCAGATTCATCATGTATATTGTACTCCCCCGATACAGTAGTGGTGGTGGGGACTGAGCAATGAAAGGTGGCGCCAAATGGGTGTGGAGAGCCGCCCTTTTGGCATGACTCATCAACCCTAAAGCGCTGGGTAGTAGGATCAGATGACAACTCTCCCATGGCAGCTCCTAGTGTCTCGTCGAGTTTAAGTTTCCAGCTGGTTGGCAGTTGCACAGAATTAATTTTAGAACAATTCTCCTCCTAACTTTGAGACAAGAGTAATGTTACAAGAAGACGAAGTCAAGCTCATTGATAGCGAAAGCTGCACTGCGACAATTCTATTATTAGTAATACTCCGTAGCTCTTCATAGAATGGAGCAAAAGAAACAGATTGAGACTATACCATGATTTACAAACAGTTCATGGTTGCAGGGGCACCCAGAGCAGACGTTCCACCTTTTTTAGACAAGAGAGATGGCCGGTGGCATTGTGCACTTCTCAAAAAGTGAAGAGTATCAAACATTACATTCGAGTTTGATTTCTTATAACTACGCTAAAGGTGCATGTTTTTGGTTTTTAGCATCCTGATCCCAATCCCAAATTATAAAAATGGATTAGAATAGTTTAAAACATCACATTTTATTACTTTGTCTCGTGCGTTCCAAGGCTGAAACAATTTAGAATGGCTTTGTATGTCCTAACAAAACTGGTTATATAGTATTACACTCAGATTCTCTTTTGCACGTCAATAACTTGAAAAATAACTTATTTTTACATCACTTTTCCATCATGGTTGAGTCAACTTCAAATATAATTATGTTATAGAATTATTTTAGCTGACATGATATCTGAAAGAATCAATTATTTTATCTAAATAGGACTAAAACATAATGACTTTCTCAATATAGGACCATATGTTTTTATTTCCCAATATAGAACCATTAGTCATTATCTATTAGTCATTATTCAACTAAATGTCCAGCATCACTTGGACATTATTCTTTTTACTAGTTATTATTAAGTCATATTTAGGGAATAAAAAGTTTAAATCCTATCTTGGGAAATAACTTATGTTTTAGTCTTATTCAGTGCAAATTTCACATCAATTAACAATGCATATAAAATAAATGAATCCAAGTGGAGGACATTTAAACTTTTGCAGTTATTGTTTTTTTCCAATTGAAACGAATTCTTTTTCGTCTTTTTCCCACTTAACTCTTTTCCATAAATAAAAAAAATCAAACCCCCCAAATCTAAGAATGATGACGAGAAAGATTAGAGATGATAGGAACTACAACTACTTGTCTAATTTTGACTTTTTGGATCAATTATTTTTAATCTTTGATTTATAATTAAATAAAACATATATCGTATATTAATTAAATAAAATAACATTTTAAAAATATTTTATATAATAAATCTAATAAAATTATTTTTGTATCAAAATCTAAAATCATTTTTAATTTATTTGATATCAAGTTTATCAATTTTGATAAAAAAAATCAAAAATAGATAAATAACCAAAAATATAAGGAGTACTTGGCAACATAGTTTTAAAAACCGGACCGGACCGGCCGGTTCGGACCGTGAATCGGCAAACCGGTGGTCCAACCGGTCCGGTCCGGCCCTTTGGACCGTAACACGCATCGAACCGGTGTAAACCGGCCGGTTCCACCGGCCAAGCCTGTTTTTTTTTTTTTGCGATTTTTTCCAAAATATGCACCATGGGGGTTTGAACCTAAGACCTTTTTGTCATTTAGTTGAGTTTCAAACCATCCAACCTAGGATGCTTTGGTTACAAGTTCACTTATTCTTTTATAATATTTCATAATTAAAAAAAGATTGTATAAAAATTTCTTTTTAATTTTAAAAATATAATATTATATAGCTATGAATCATACACAAAAGCATTGATACTATTCATATTATTACAAAATGAATATCATTCAAAATTTCATTTAAGGTTTTTTTAATATTAAACAACTTATTTGAAAAAATAAAATCAAGTCTTCAATTATAAAATTTTAAATATTCTTTTTCTAATATGTAAATTTTATTTTTTAACTTAGTAAAATAACTCAATTATTTTAATATAATTTTTAGTCAAATGTTATAAATTACTTTCTTTAGATATTTATAAATAAGAAAGTGTGTGTGTCGATATATATGTATGTGTTTATATACACGTGTGTGTGTGTGTGTGTGTGTGTATATATATATGTGTGTGTGTGTGTGTATGTATGTATGTATGTATTTATTTATTTATTTATTTATATAATTTTTAAAAATGTTTAAACTACCGGTTCGACCAGTTGAACCACTGGTTCGACCAGTGAACTAGTGAACCAATACCTTGACCGGTTCGGTCACCGGTCCGGTTCTGAAAAATATGCTTGGCAAACAAGAAGTGTGCACTTGGAGCACCACCACGCGAGTAACAATGGTCTATAGGCCATACTCCATAGGGACCTATTCGATAGACCAGCACCGTGGGGCACATGCCGCGAAAGGTCCCCTTATCCGCCCTTGTTTATAGGGGTGGGCAAACGGGTCCAGAAACCGTGAGTCGGAATCGAACCGACAGGTTCGGTCCGGGTTAGGGGCGGGTCTTTTTTTAAAAAAATTATAATGGTCCGAGTCGGTCCGGTTCTTATAGGTTTTTGGATCGGTCCGATTCTCAATTTTAAAATTCTTCAGGACCCGGACCGGCCCGTTAGTTAATACTCCGTATTATTATTATCTGTATCACTCATTTACTTGGGCCAAAGCCCTACCCAATCTCCCAACTTCCAATCCTTTCGGTCTTTCCCAGAAGCCAGAACTTCAGAACTCTTTGCAGCGGCTAATCTGTGAACCGGAGCACAGGCAGAGAGACGGACGAGCACAGACGATGAGACGGAGAGACGGAGCTTCCGAGAATAGATGATGAGATGGAGCTTTTGAAGCGCTGCATCGACCGAGCACAGAGATCGCAGAGAAGCGCTATGCGATAATCCCCATGTTTCTTCAGCTGTCCGGACACCACTGGTCACCTTAAATCGCCTTCTCCGGTGAATCTTGTCCCGTGGTAGCCCTTCACATCTCATCTCTTAATTGAAATATTCACCTCTTCATTTTTAATTTTTAATTTTACACAATCAGCTGCATTTATCATCATCACCAATTTCACCACCACTTCTCCAATGAGTGCCATTTGCAATTGGTCTTGTTTTTTACATTAGTGCTATTGACAATTACTACTTCAAATATGTTTGTAGATATGTTTGCAGAGAACCCCGTACCATATAGTGCCATTGAATATGAAGCTAATGAATCAGAGCTTGAATTTTATGAAGAGTGTGAATTGGGTAATACTTTAATTTCTTTGCTTAAAGTATATAGAAAGTTACTCTCTTTGTATAGTCTTGAAAGTAATACTCCGGAGTATGTATGTTTTTTTTCATATTTTCCTTTAGCACAGAGCACAGGAAGGACAAAGAATCAACATCGAATTCAAGTGCTCATACGCTTCAATCTTCGGAAATAACTAAAAAGCATAAAGGATGTGCAGTATTATTTTTAAATTCACTAACAATAGTTAATATACTTTTACTTTTATACATTATTAGAGACTAATTTAATCATATAATTATATTTTCTATGCAGAGTAAAGACGAGATAATCAATACCTAATTGCATGTGAAGGATGTAGGTTAATATTAAACTTCTTTAACCATTTGTGCATGTTTGTGTGTGGAATATGTTTGATCTTACTCCGTAAAATTTTGTTTTTGCAGGATTTTTGGTTTTTTTGGAAGCCATCTCCCTACTGCTTGATTGTTCTTTTTGGAAACATATGGCATTTGCCAAAATGTGATTGTACTCTTTCCTTTTTTTGTTGGATGATCATACCATCATGGGAGTTTGCTGTACTCAGTTCCTCTTTATCATTGTTCAGACTATTTTTTTTGTTTGATAACTTAAAAGTTAAAACTGATGGTGGTGGGTAGTCTATTGTTATGGACTAATGGTGAATGACCATGTATGTATTACGGAGTATTAAATTATTTGCACTTCTTTATATTTGTAATATTAGTGTCATGAAAGTTTTGGACCCGTTGACCCGTGGAATCGGCCCGTTTCGGACAAGCCGGGTTAGGTCCAGTTTCAATTTTAAAATTTTGAAAACCCGTTCCGGCCCGGACCGTTTTAATAAAAACAAGCCGAGTCCGGTTTATAGAAATCTTGGCCCGGACCGGACCGTGCCCACCCCTACTTGTTTATATACTATTCCATCCGTTTCTAGATAGATTATAAATTGTGGATTACGAAGAAAATTTTCCTACTTTTTAAAATCATTTTATTTACAAATTAGTATATCAATAATATATAAAAATTACATATTAAAAAACTACGTCAAAAGTTCTACAAAACAAGAGCTGACAAGAATATTTTATTTTATCAAATACTTGATGAAATCACGTAAACAAACAAAAGTTATCGATAAGAGAAAAAAATTTGTAATCTATTTAAGACGGAGGGAGTATATTCCATTGTTCCAAATTAATTTTCCTTCCTTTCTTTTTCATTGTTTATCTGTTAAAAAAAGAATATATATTTGCATATATTCTCGTATATTTCTGTATATATTATTTTGATAGTTTTCCATTGTATATTTAATTTCTTTCGTATGGTAATTAATTTACATATAGAGTTTCTAACGTGTGGGATCCTAGATATTGATCCTGGGCATACAGGCTCCCACGGTCATTGTGGGCCCACAGTACTTTGCTGGCGGCAGAGGCTGAGTGCACACGCTCTGTCGCTGGAAGACAGGCGAGTGAGGATCTGACCGGGTCCGCCCTAGGTCCGAGTGGATGTATCCGAGCTGAGTAGGGACGTGTGTCTGAGTGCAGTTGTTGCCTTGGGGCCTTGGTTTCCTTTAAGTCCCACTCAGTCGAGCAGGTTGTCTTTGGTCGAGCGCATCCGATTCTTGCAATTCGATGTGCCTTGTTGGGCTGGATACCCCCAGTCCAGGCCCAGGGGCATCCATCAAGCTCTGATACTGAAATGTATTACTCCGATCTACATAACATGAATGCCCAGGTCATCGAATCGGATTGCTACTAAATTGGTACCAAACATTAGTTATTTTCAAACAAATTAAAATAAACACTTCGAGATATAATTTCAAACTTTTATCAGAGTACTTTAAAACAGTGCGGAAAGCTTAAGTCATTATTCAGAACAAACTTGGGATTGAAAGCCATATAAATAGTAAGTACTTAAAACAATAATCAAACAAATAAGTCCTCAACTGCAACCACACACATCTCTTCGCCCTCAAAATCCTTCGAAATTGGTTCCAGGTTCATCGTGATCTAGATTACCTACGTGATCTTGATTTACGTATTTAAAAACTACATAAAAGTCTTCAAAACAAGTAATGACATGCATTTTTTTCTAACATTAATGAAAAAAATTTCCTAGATAAAACTAAATCTTAATTTAAATATCAAAATAAGAGTCACTTAGGCACCGTTCCGTTCAACTTACTTTTTCTGCTTATTACTAATTTTTATTATAATCAGATCATATCAGGTAAGGTCACAAACAACTTTAATTATAAAAACTACAATCAGATCAGATCAAACCAAATCAGATCTTCAAAAAATCAGACCAGATCATATCAGGTGAACGGAACGCAACCTTAATTTACTCTCCTAAATAGGAGCGTGACGAAAGTGTGATAGAAGAGTTAATGAAAAAGTAATGACAATATAATATCACAGTGTGGCTAGTAAAATTGGCCTATAAGTGACAATTTTTATACATTATTTGGCACATGAATAATTTAGAGGGGAAGAGAGTAATATGGAGTAGATCCGTTGCAAATTATATCATGAATCCGGTTATACGGTTCTTCCCGTACAGCCAGAAAAAATTAGCAGAACCTGATCAGAAAAGGAAGATGTAGAAGCGGGAGATGGACCGGAGCTTGACATCCGGCGATTGAATAAGAAGAAGAGGAGGCTGCTAAATGGCAGGTAGATCCAATCAGATTGGGAGCAGAGATCTGAGCCGGCGTGGATCATGGAAAAAGATTATGATGACGATCGACGATTGGGAGCAGAGATTCGATCTGCGCCGCACAATTTTGGGAGATCCGATCAGCTGAATTAGGCTGCCCTACCTTGTGGATCCGATGAAATCAAGGAAGATCCGACGAAATGGGGAGGGATGAAGACGCGTGAGGATGATGATGGTACTAAAATTTTCAATTGTGAAAGTATTGAACAATACTTTACTTGAATATTAAGTGACTCTTTATTTGAAAATGAGTATTGTTTTTTTAAAGAATGAACACTACGTTATTTATTATAAATATATTAAATAAATGTGTAAAAATGAGTATTTCATTATTTTAAAATGAGTGCTACCATTTCATAATAAGTATTGCGTATTTCCAAATGAATGATTATATTTATACGAAAATGAGTATTACTAACTTTAGAATAAGTACTATCCGGATATATCTATCTCTACGTAGACGTACACCCAGATGTACCCTTTCTCTAGGTCCATAGGAATGTAGGATATAAGATTGGGTAGGAGATGCTGACAGGGCCAAGACGTGGAGCAGAGAAAAGCCACATCCTGTTATCCGCTTCCCCTCCACCACCAAAATTAGAAATTTACTCCGTATATCATATGATGAGATCTTCATCCAATTTCACTGTTTCTCCCGAGTCCTGAAATCAATTTTTTTCTTTATTAAACCCAAATCATTCCAGGATTTGCAGAGTGCCCGATGATGATAAACCTCTCATCATCATCATCATCTTCTTCCCCTCTATTCCTCAACAGGTTAACAAATTCAAAGGTACCCATTTCACAATACCCTCCAAGGAACAAAACCCAGGTTTCAAAATCATCTCTTGATTGCTCATTTTCCTGTTCACGCATGTTCAAGGATCAATTCTGTCATGCGAGGAGGGGAAATTCCAAGCTTCACGCAATACCCGGGCTGGATTCCGGTGGTCTCGAGGGTGCGCGGTCAGTTCTTGAGGCGATTGGAGTGTTGACCGCCATCGTCGTAGTCCATGAAAGTGGCCACTTCTTGGCAGCTTATCTTCAGGGAATTCATGTGAGTAAGTTTGCTGTTGGGTTCGGCCCGATTTTAGCTAAATTCAATTCCAAGAACGTGGAGTTTTCAATTAGAGCAATCCCTTTAGGTGGGTTTGTTGGATTCCCTGATAACGATCCTGATAGTGATATCCCGGAGGACGACAAGAATCTGCTTAAAAACAGGCCGGTTTTCGATAGAATGCTTGTTATTTCAGCTGGTGTAATTGCTAATGTAGTGTTTGCTTATGCTTTAATCTTTACACAAGTGATATCAGTTGGATTTCCTGTTCAAGAGGCCTTCCCCGGTGTGCTCGTTCCAGATGTGAAGCCATTTTCAGCTGGTAGCCGACATGGTATAGTCCCCGGAGATGTCATTCTAGGTGTCAATGGAATTGAACTCAGGAAAACCGGACCAGATTTGATTTCTGAGGTTGTTGATGCCATCAAGAAAAGCCCAGAGAGAAGTGTGTGGCTTAAGATAGGGAGAGGAGAACAAAGCATTGATATAAATGTAACTCCTGATACAAGTTTTGATGGTACGGGTCGAATTGGAGTCCAATTAGCACCAAACTACAAGGTTTTGAAGGTCAGACCCAAGAATCTATCAGAAGTGTTTAGTTTCACAGGAAGCGAATTCTGGGGACTTGCGTCCAATGTGATAGACGGCATGAGACAGATATTCTCAAACTTCTCTCAGTCTGCGAGTAAGGTTTCTGGTCCAATTGCCATTGTCGCTCTTGGTGCTCAAGTTGCAAGGTCAAATATAGATGGCCTATACGAATTCGCTGCTGTTCTGAACCTTAACCTTGCATTGATAAACATTCTTCCTGTCCCTGCCCTTGACGGGGGGTCATTGTTTTTGGTGCTCATTGAGGCAGCTAGAGGCGGGCGAAAGCTTCCGGAAGAAGTTGAGGAACAAATTATGGCATCCGGAGTCATGTTTGTCCTAGTCCTCGGGGTCTTCCTTCTTGTGCGGGACACGCTAAATCTTGAATTCATAAAGGATTTATTATGATGGTTTGGCAAAATGTCTGGTATGGGACGTACGGTTCGGCTCGGAAGAACATATGAGTTGAAAGTGCTTGCTTGCAGGATGTGTCTCAAGGGGGGAAAAGAGGTTTTCTCTTTGGTCAATTGAGTTAAGTTCTCATTGTTCTAAATGTTCAATGCCAGGTAGCTCTTGACCTTGTCTGTCTCATACTTTATAGTACTTCACTGCAAATCTAGATCTCCACCATAAGACTCTTTCCATGCATATTTGTAGAATTCAAATCGTGTACTTTATTGTTGATCACACTAAGCCTTTGTTTGAGAACAACTTTTTTAACTAGCGTTAGCCCTTTGGATTATTTTTGTTGAAATTTTTTTCCAACAAAAAGTAATAACTGCCCAAGAAATATGCCTATAAAGGAACAACATACATATGATAATACATGAGAAGTAACAACAAATAAACAAATTAACAGTCCAAAAATAGCTTGTCTTAAATAGACGAGTATACGATTCCTCCCTCATCTGATTTGATCCATCATCCATGTATCCTTCATATTTTTTTCGAATGTTCATCTAATAAAGCGGGACATCAGATGGATCGATTATCCAACAGATCGATCGGATAGAAATTGTCTATCCTTAGTCCAGCCTTCCATGATCTCACATGAGAGAGCATGATCATTTGAGAAGATTTAATGAAAGTTTAAGGAAAAGATCATTCTCAAATTGATTTGGTTTTATAATGTTTCTTCTCATTTTGTTAATAGAAGTTCAAATGTACTCGATAATGTTTCTTGTGTTTCACACATAGACAGTGTGCAAGTGTCTGTATATCTCGCTGCTCCTTTCTCAGTATTTCCTTCATTTGAGAAAGAAAGTTTAGTTCCATTATTTAATGGACATATTTATTTTCTTTTATTATATAGAATACGAAGTATGTTTTTATTGCTTACTAGTTCTGTAACCCGTGCTACGCACGGGCTTGTTATTAGGGCTCGTTGTCATAATGTTATTGAGGCGATGATTGGAAATGGAGGAGTTGGTTTATGATTTTATTTTCTTCCGTGCTATGCTTGGGCATGTGTTAAAGGATTATGTATGTTTTCGTTTTGTAGGATTTTGAAATACTACATTGTATATATCCTGTTGTTTTGTGAAATGTGAAGAGTAATATTATTGTGTTTTGGAGTTTTTAATTTGATGTTGGTGGTTGAAGATATTCATTTTTTTGTAATGATTTTAGATGTTCGTTTTGGCGTTGTACCAGTTCATGTTCGTTTTGGCATTTTGATATTTGTTGGGGTAAGATGAGGGCTAGACGTCTGTACCGGTAACCATTGAAGTGAGGATTGCGAAAGACGAACATCAATGCTCGGTGTCTATACATGTTGGCGTACATGTTGGCGTTTAATGTTTGAAGTCTGTACACATGGCGTTTAATGCCATGTCACGTATGACACGTGTCAACACTACAAGCATTAAACCCTCTTTTACATATTTACTAGTAATCCTACCCGTGCAATGCACGGGTTTGAACGAATATCTTGTCGATTCTGAATTTATTCAATGCAATATTTTTTCCGGAATAAAGGAAATATACCTCATGTATGATTTATAATAACACAGAAAAGAAAGGCGAAGTAAAAAGAATAATATTTGAGGAATTGAATCTACACACAACAAAGTTTGCTTTAATACCAAATTTTTTGAAAGATTTCATGGTATACAACATTTTTTTGTATGGCAGCAAGAATTTCCATTGTGACTAATATTTTTAATCTTGTCTTTGTCACCACTCGCGAAACAGCAACATAAAGCTGACCATGAGTGAACACTGACTTGGTTAAAAATAATCCAACAAATGACAATGTTTGACTTTGACTTTTGTTAATAGTCATATCAAAACATAAGGCTATTGGAAATTGTCTTCTCTTGAACTTTGGAGGTAGTCATGGATCAGACGGTACCAAATTTATCCTGGGTATGTAAATTTTTTCGCCCACTCAATTTTCCGAAACCACAATAGCACCAATAACATTCTTTCGCATCTCGTCAACAATTAATCTTGAAACATTACACAATCCAGATATTTGGTCAATGATCCTCAATAACATAATTGGTACCCCTTTTTTTAAAACTATCCTGTGGTTTGGGATTCCCGAATATTTGATTTCATTCAAACACTCAACTGTTACCCAGTCGCCATCAACACCTACATCTGAATCTGCTTGGCATGATGAATCAGAACTGAAGTACACCATTTTATTTCCGGGAATGAGGGATAAGACAAATTAATTTATCATTTCTACAACTTCGAGCGTGGGTGCTAGTAGTGCCCTGTTTTCAAAAAAAGAATAACTTCTCATATTCTCCAATAAGTTCGGATAAGTAAAGTCCACTATACTTTTGAGGGGTGAGCTGTTATCTATAGTCAAAAATTCGAGAGGAATTTCAGCGTCAGCAGTTCCATCAATCACTTGTCCTAGCTTTCCATCTCCAACTTTTATTATCCAATCAGAAAAATCTTGTGTGTGTCTCTCTACGCAAGAGGACGTTGATGAATGCAATCTCATATTTTTCGTCAACTTAAAAACTTTACAATAAGACCACAAATTTGAAGAATTAATGGTAGCACCTACAATTTCCTCTCTCGAAGCTCTGGGTAAAACAGGAAAAATTTGTCTGAAATCACCTCCGAGTACAATTGTTTTCCCTCCAAATGGTTCATTTATTGAGTTTGGATTAGAGAACTTCATTAGATCTCTCATCGTGCGATCCAATGCCTCAAAAGCAAATCTATTCATCATACATGCTTCATCATATATGATTAAACTTGTCTGTTGAATTAGTTCTGCTTTTGGGCTCCCTTGTTTGATGGCACACATTGAACACTCTGTTAGCGCCAAAGGAATTGAAAATCTAGAGTGTGTTGTCCTTCCCCTAGGCAAAAGCAATGCTGCAATCCCACTGGATGCGACATTCAAGACAACTTTACCACTTGATCTTAGAGAAGCAGACAATGATTTCCAAAGAAATGTTTTTCTAGTTCCACCGCAACCATACACAAAAAAGAATCCTCCTTTTCCAGCAGTCACAACTTCCATTATTTCATCGTATATCTTCCGCTGATCTTCATTCATCGTAGATAAGTATCCCATAAGATCAGATGACAACTTTTCTTTATCATAGTTCAACTCCTCAACCAATAAATTGTTTTGAAATGTATTGAGTGGATGTCATCTGGAAATGGCATACAACTAAATTCCCTCAAAGACCGTCCATTTGAATTAAGCAACTTTCCAATCTCAATCAGACATAAATTCTTTAGGTCTTCTTGAGAAATTATAAGCTCTGAAAAAAGAAATAGAAATAATGGAACTTATTTAATTCTACAAAGTTCCGAATAAATATTGTAGGTTTCAAGACAATGCATTATGTACGGATTAATATGTTAAAAAACTATTTCTCTATTGATATACCTTGATTACGCAATAGTCTCTTTCGATCAAATAAAATTCCATCCACCAGGCGTTCCCATGATTTTTCCCAAAACATTTTGCGGGCGACTCATGGTATTTGTCACTAATAATGTGACGAACAACTTTCTAAGCTGATTCCCAGAACCTAACTCAGCAGCTTCTTTTATACCTTCAATAAATTCCTTATCATCAGCAAGTACCCCCAATGCATCGCATGCCTCCTCAAATGAGTTATACAGAACATTGTTAACTGTCTTCAAGCTTTCATAACTTGTACACCCCCGCGACAGTTAATAGTATTCTCAAGTAGTATAACTCTCCGGTTCCTACAGTCATGTATTGTAAACGGACTATTGATGGTATTTGTTTTCTCGGATGCCATTCTAGCTCCTTTTTATTGAACACAAAATGTCTTGGAAATTCCCCATACATTAAATTTTCCCCCACTTTGTACTTTGAATTGGCAATCATCCAAGCCTCAAACATTGAAGGCTTGTAAAGATTTTGTCTGACAACATCTGTCAATTTTTGTTGCTCCTTAAAAGTGACAAATTTTTGTCCTGGGAGATGGAAATTCAATCTCAATACTGCTGACCATCTGTGGTGTATAAGAGGATTCTCCAAGATGCTTCACACCATAAAAATTATACAAGAGGCTATAAAAATTAAACTCCACACCATAAAATATGTTCAAAAACAGGAGGCTTTAAATCTGAAATTAAGGTCTGAAAAATAAGGACAGACTCAAGTCGTCAATACTTTAATAAAAAATATGTTGTTTATGGTGCTGAAAATAGAAGATTCAAGGACAGTAGACTTATTACACTTTAAGAACGGCAGAGTTATTATTACATAAATTATAAGAATTCCTTCTTAGGCACTATTAAAAAAATTAGTCTCATGGTTTTAGGCACTCGAGAAACTTCAACATGAATAGGCACTAAAAAAACTAAACAGACTATAGTGTGTTTTGTTTTTTAATACTTAGAATCAGAACAGACTATATTGTGTTTAGTTTTTTCAATACTTTGAATCTGGAGAAATTTCAAGAGACTAAGAACTAAACTCCACACCATAAAATATGTTCAAAAACAGCAGACTATAAATCTGAAAATAAGGACAGGCTCAACTCTTCAGTACTTTAATAAAAAAAATTATTTTTTATGGTGCTGAAAATAGAAGCTTCAAAGAAAGCAGACTCATTATACTTTAAGAATAGCAGACTTATCATTCTTCATTTATTTATTCAATATGGGTTATTGAAGAATTTTGGTTTTTTATCCAGATTAGTATAATTGTGTTTTGAAAGTAAAAGCAAAATAACCTTCCAGCCACTAAAAAATTATTAGAAATCCTATTAAACATAAATTTTATATTGTATGCAAAATACGAATAAGAGTACAATTCTTACATGTTCGTCCATGAATATCATCTCAATAGAATTCGTCATCTTCTCATCATTATACACTGGCATCTTGTACAGTCGAGTCACACGAACCAAAACTCTCCAGCATTCACTTGATGGATTGATCTTCAACAAAGAGTGGATCGGTTTGGAAGACATGTCGATTAATCAGAGGTTTTAGGTATGAATACGGCTTGCAATGAAAATATAGATTGATGAAATGACTTACTTAAAATTTGATTTATATATGACCTAATATAAATCGCAAGAAGGAAACTTACAGCAATAAGGTAGAAAATACAGAGATTTGAACCGAAAAATTCGAAAGAAGAACAAATTTCGCAGAGACTAATCATCATAAGAAGGAAAGAAGGCCAATCATCCCAAAAACAATTATGACTTTTTAAGAAAAGGGAAAGTTACCTATTCTTGGTACCGATCATTGGAATCTCCGTGAAGGACCGTGAAGAAGGAAAGAGATTAATTCCAATCACATATTCTCTGAAATCTCGCGGTTGATCCATTCGAAGATGAATATCGCAGGGAGGTGCAATCGAAGGTAAAGTGCTGCTGATGTCTAGCTTCATTCAGACTTGCAAATGAATTCCACACAGAGTAGCCAAATAAATGAAGCCCAAAGTAATGAATCATTATCCAACCCGTTTGAAATATTGAGTAAGTCCAATATGATGACATACCTTATGATGTGTCAAAAAAATCCCCGTCAGCATGACAAATGTCAAAATTCTAGGAGTTAAACTCCCAAATATAATATATAAAGGATATAGGATTTGTTAAAGCAATATACTTAAGTCATCTTATGTTCTATACGGAGTAGAATTTTAAATATTGTTTTTCTATATATGATTTAAAGTTTTTTTTTTAAAACACCAAAATGCTAATTTTAGAGGAGAAATAGAGAGAGTGTCGATTGTACAAAAGAAGATATTCTTCTGTTGTCCATGAAGCAGAGAGCGAGTCCAAACACAAATAAATATTTGGAGCGGCTCCTATGGAGATGAGAGGTTCTTATGCAAAAAATGATACTTCGGTCAGTGGGTATTGCGCAGTCGGCAAAGGCAACTGCGCGGAGACGAGGTTCATCCTTTTTTGGCAAAAAATAATACTCCGGATATTTATGGTGATCAATTATACATACTGTCTCTGTTCTACAAAACATTTCAACGTTCTCATTGTTAGAATATAAATAACTGTTCCTGGGCCACTACCACAAACTTGAGCTTTTGGTTGAGTTGGTTCCTTGACATGGTATCAGAGCCTCGTTGACTAAGAGGTCACGGGTTTGAAACTCAGCGCCACCCAGTTTAAAAAAATTAAGGTTTCACGTGCAAGGCTCGAAAAAGACTATGTCTGCACGTGAGGGGGCGTGTTAGAATATACTCGGTAAATAACTGTTCCTGAGCCACTACTACAAGCTTGAGCATTTGGTTGAATGGGTTCCTTGACATTCATTTTATCCGTCCAACAAAATATTTCAATTTCTCTAAAATATACGGAGTACTAACATACCCCTCTTCTTGCCCTATTTTCCCACATTCAATCCATCACATCTCATCTTAATTTTTGTTTTTTAATTACTCCTATGTCTCCTATCCATTATTCGTAACTTTTCATTCATGTAAAACATCACTTTAAAAAAAATCTTAAGAGCATTTGTGGAAAGTCAAACACCAAAATACATGTCCCTTAAATTACCCAAAAGTCAAAACCGGCAAATTTTTACAAAGAAGCGAGTATGATGTTTACGAGGTGACCATGCCTTTTATTTTCAAAATGGTACAATTGTAGTGAAGATCGATTATGGTGTATCATGTGTAATTGAATTCTTACTTTTCTATCTAAACGATGGACAATAGAAAAAGAGTGTTTGTTTCATCTGATGAAGGCCTCTTTTTTTTGGTTATTTTTTTGTATTCTACTCCGTATAATATTGTGTGCATTCACATTTCCTCAACTTGATAACGCACCATTGACCCAATATCTCTATTAGAAATCTCCTTAATAAGAATAAGAAAGTATGAAAACATCAAAATACGAATTTTAAGTTTTTTAAAACTAAAATAGAAGTATAATAGTAATGTGATGTGAGAGTACGCGTTCTTTTAGAACTCATATTTTAGTATGTTAAAATAGATTATAATTTTTATTTAATTAAAACTCAAAATTTATCTAGTGTGATTTAAAAATGTCAAATTGAACAAAATATATTTAGAATGAGAATGAGAAGAGAAAGATATAAATATAAAAATCTAGGCCCATTAACCCATACTTAATTCTCAAAGGTGAAAATTGAAAAAGAGTGGAGAAAGAAAACTGCGGAAAAAAATGTAGCATGACGCTTGCAAGCCGGGACGAGAAGTAAGCTCACCCCTATAAATTCTTCCCCTTCTTTTCTTTCTTTCTCTCAATCATATCTCTATTTTCATCTCTTCTCCATCCATCAATTTATTAATTTTTTTTTTTTTGAAAAAAAATTGGATTATTCATTCTTAACTCTTTATTTCAACTTCAAATTAATCAATCAATTAATTAAAAAAACGTAACAAAAGAAGCTAGAGGAGGCCGGCCGGATATAGTAATTACAAAATATCCATAAGGCGGTTGATGACGTCGTCTCCTGATGGTGGGGCAATGAAGAGCGGCGGCGGCGGAGTGGCGGGAAGGAGCGGCGGCGGGCGGCAGATGCTGAAGAAAGGGCCGTGGACGACGGCGGAGGACGCGGTTCTGATGGAGTACGTGAAGAAGCACGGGGAAGGGAATTGGAACGCGGTGCAGAGGAATTCGGGGCTGATGAGGTGCGGGAAGAGCTGCAGGCTAAGGTGGGCCAACCATCTCCGGCCCAACCTCCGGAAGGGCGCCTTCTCCCCCGAGGAAGAGCGTCTCATTGTCGAGCTTCATTCCAAGCTCGGCAACAAGTGGGCTCGCATGGCCGCTCAGGTAATATACTTTCAATTAATTAGTTTAATGATTTTTATATATAACCATAGGTAAACCCCCCACCCCGGTCCCGACCCGAACACACCCCCACCCCTTTCAATTTTGACTCCAAAGTCAAAATCAACTTGTAGGGTGCAATTGAAGGTGGTGGGGGGTGTGTTCGGGTCGGGGCCGGGGTGGGGGTTTACCGGGGGGTTGGGGGTAGGAACCGTCAATTTTACGAACGGGGCACCGGAGCCGCTCCGGGTCATACTATGACATTAAGGTTCAATGTCATTTGAACCTTGGTGATAACCATAAATAGTGATTCAATTTGAAATCCATTTCTGTAGCTTCCCGGGAGAACAGATAATGAGATCAAGAATTACTGGAACACGAGATTGAAGAGGAGACAGAGGGCCGGTTTGCCTCTATATCCCCACCAGCAGCTTCAACCCCAAAACCCATACCTTCCAAACAATCAATTACTCTTATCCAGCCGTTCGCCGTCGTCTCCCTTATCGGCGCTTTTATCAGCACCGCCACCGCCGCCCCTGTCCATCGTTGACCACATCTTCGACCCCTCTCCGGCGACGGTGAAATCTCCCGCTCCGCCTCTCCGCACCCAAAACTCCCATCATTTCAAGTTTCTCCCCCGCCCTCCTCCGGCCGGTGCTCTGGCTCTGACGTTGGCCCCTTTGTCGCCGGCTAACGAACCTTTCGGCCACGCGCCGGCGAGCCCGTTCCCGTTCGGCTCTTTCAATCCCAGCTTTGCTGGCGGCGGGTACGCCGGTCCGACGGGGACTGTGAACTTTCATGAGCGACCTTCAATCCAAACCACCGCGCCGGCGACATCTTCCGGGAATCTTTTCCCGGCGTCGAGCGAAGATGCCGGCGACTACGAGGAAACCGATTTACCCCGCAGTAAAAGCGGGTTGTTGGAGGATTTACTGCACGAATCAGATGCTTTGTCGCGGGCGAACAGAGATCATTCCTCAGATGAGAAAAGGAAACAAAAATCTATGATTGCCTTTGAAGGTCCAATGCATATTAATCTCATAAATTAGGAATAATGATTTCACCATACCAATTCTATCAAAGTATTCTTTTTCATATGCCCATAAATTATTAAATCTAATTATTTCATTAATCCGTTGAATATATATACAGGGGAGAGTGAAGGGGAGGGCAAAAATGACAATGATATTAATGTGATGGACGAGGATATAATGAGTCTTCTTGACAATTTTCCACTGGTAGTGCAAGTTCCCGACTGGTACGGTGGAGCCGACCACGGCGGAAGTGGTGATCTGGCATGCGGCGGTGGTCATTCCGGCGGCGGCAGGGGAGAAGATTCGAAAACGTCGAGCACGACAACATCGGAGGCCACGTTGTGCTGGAATAACATGCCCTGTATTTCTTAGACCGATCGACTAGTAGCGAATTTGATGTTGGTTATGTGTGTCACTTCATGTGTTAAATGCGTGGCTATTTGAGTATAATTTGATAATTACGAGTGTAATACGACGTAGTAGATGATTAACACATGTAGTGATCTACATTTAGAAGTACTTAGCTTGTGTGTCGTTAATTAGGCTATTTTGTTGCCTTAAATTCATATTGGTTGAGTCTATGTATTTTACATTTTTACATTGCGCTATTTGCGTGTCATGAATTCAAAAAAAAAAAAAAAACAGGGTTATTGGGATTCTTTTACATTGCGTTATTTGTGTTATACAGAGTATAAGCAGAAGTAAATTGAGTTATAATATGGGGCTTCCACCTGGCTTATAATATACTCGTAACTTAAAAATGGAGCAATTTTTATAATTTATCCTTTATAACGAGGTGTTTTTCATATTTAGTGATCTATTGTTAAATATTACCTCCGTAGTCCTATTTTTATGGATTATTTTTTACAAATAGTATTTTTTATCTTCTCCCATGTCAGTGTTAATTTAAAAACTAAAATTATGATTTGACATCAATCTTATGTTCAATGACGTATTCTGATATTGGTTAGATGGACAACAGAATAATAATGACCATGATTGTAGACTAAAATTTTGATGAAAGACCACATCTATAAACTATGGTGATTGTAATTCACAAATGACACATCAAAAGCGGCTTTTGGAACTGAACACCAACATGATATAAGAACAATAAAAGATTATTTATGGAAAGATACTCATAAAAGAAGAACCACCGGGGTAATATTTGATATTAGAGGACTAAATAGTGAAACTCTTATGTTATAAGGGGCCAAATAAAAAAAATTTAATTAAAAATGCAACACAAAGCTGCGCCATTTACCCCCAAATCCTCTCAAAATTACGTGGATACTTCCTAAACTTTAAAAAGTGCACCAATGGTCTATGAACATTAAAATAAGTTGCATCAATGGTCTATTTACGCCAGATTTAGAAAACCTTGAATCACCATTTGTCCAATACCTATACAAATATGAATTCATTTAAACCCATATCTCTTACGTGAGTTCTGCAATATTCAATTAATTTTTCAAATATTAATTACTCATCTACACCTTTTTCAATAAATTAACTTACTCTTTTCTACTTTTTAAAATTACTTTTACACTTAATTATTCTCGTATTTCAACTACATCACACCAAATTTTTCTTAATGTTTGTGTTTTTCATTTGTAAAATTACTCATGAGACGGAGGGAGTACGTACTCAATTTTTTCCATAAAGATTTCCTTACTTTCCTTTTTAATTAATCTATTTCAAAATAATGTTTCTACTCTTCTTCATTTTTCCTTTACGAAAAAAATTATGGGTTTCATAATATTTTTTCAAAATACTTAGTACTCCCTCCATCCGAGTATATATGCCCAGTTTGATTTTTTCGAATCAAACATGATGAAGTTTGAATTTTAATTAAATAAAAATCATAATATATATTAGAATAAAAATAAATTTAGAGCAATGCTAGGAGTAGACTAAAGGTGTACCCCATTTGTCTCCCACCTCCTTCTCCACCACCCATTTTTATTTAATTTTTATTTAAATAATTTTTTTGAAGGTTTTGCTCATTTATGTGGTGGACGAGGGGGTGGGGGGGACAAATGGGGTACACTTTGTGTACCCCTAGCATTTTTCATAAATTTATTAGATTTATCATGTTGTGAATGTTTACAAATTTATTTTATTATACTAATATGCAATACAAATAGAGAGTAATTAAAGCTGAAAATTTGTGTAGTTTGACTCGAAAAAGTCAAACATGACACATACATTATTATGATTTTTATTTACAACCACATAATAAGAAATCGTTTAAAATATAATTAAAACATAGAAAAAGTCAAACATGACAAAATTAACAACGAATGACACTCACCTATTTCTTTTACCTCCGGTGTTCCAAATGAAAAAGTTGATGATCCCTACTCCCTAACTCAACTCTTAAAACTCCCACCTCACCTTCACCGGAGTCGCACTGTTTTACCCTCATCCTAGACTCCCTTTTACCTCCTCCAAATATATGATTATTATGCATTGCATAATAACCATACATTGTTAACGGAAGTTATGTATCAAACTTTAAATTACGATTGTCATCCGTTGACACTAGATATCATTGTTAATGGAAGTTATGGAACTTTACCGATTTAAAATTGTAAATTGAAGAGACTTTTTAGGATACATGGAGTATATCCTAAGTACGTGGATTATTGGCATGGGAGGATTGGGAGCCATACATCCAAATTGATCACGAAAGCAAAGCCCATAAGCCGCAAGCAGCCATTTGATCTTATATTTAACTCTATCTGCTCCCATCATCTGAATGCAGCGTTACATTCCATTTTTCAATATAATTAAAATCATCCACTATACTTTAAAAAGTAAATAAAATATCATCCACTTGTGACCCTGTTGACAATTTACCAAAATACGTCAAATTCCTATCATTTTTTTGTTTTGATATACGTAGTATTAACATAATAACATTTCATGGGCGTCAGGCTACAAATTGCATATGCCCAACGTTCCAAATTATTCTTTCTATTTTGAATAACGTGTATAATTTTATTTTTAAAAATTATTTTATTTATAAATTTGTATAAAAATAAAATATATAAAATGAACTATTTAAAATTACATCAATAACTATACAAAATAAAATGTTACAAGAATATTATTTATTGAATGATCAGTGAAAATATACATACAAATTTAATTTATATAATAAACGAGAAAATAATTTGGGACGTAAGAAGTAGTATTAGGCTTCGTTTTGGTACACAGAATTCAAACAATGGAATTGAAATTAGGGACAAGCTAAGAGTTCTAATTCTAGTGTTGGTAACACAAAAACATGTGGATTTGAAATAGGTAGTACTAAAAATGAATTGAAATTGGAAAATTTAATTAGATCCAAATCAATTTCACAGAAATTTATCTACCAATTCAATTCAAAATCTTTCAATTCCATGCACACCATTAGCATACCGCCGTTTACTTTCAATTCAATTTTTTTTTTTTGTACTTTAAAGGATGATATCATTAACCAATCAAGTTGCGAGGCCAAACGATTGCCTAGAGGGAGGAACAAAAGTAAAATTAAAGAACACTTTCCCTAATATATTCAATTTAGTACCGAGTATGTCTGTATGTGCACTTAACTCCATCAATATTTATCTAAGAATATCAACTGAATTAAAATTCATCAATTTAAGATATTAAAATGTAATAAAGTAAATGCCAGGTAAGTAACACCTTAAAAAGAATTATCCAATTATTATCTCGTCCTTTATTATATATAGAGGAAAAAAATAGTCTCCTTGAAATCTTCTGAAAATGAAAATAGGAAATATTAGGTGGAACGTATGTAGGCAGTACCATTCTGTTTTCTTCACGATTTGAATTTGTTTTTGGATCAAACATAATGATAACACTAATACACGTGCAATAAGAGAAAAAATGAGGGTGTAGCGTTTGTACAAAATCAGGATCAAATTTACCCACCATTTATCGAGAGCGTCGCTCCAATTGGCTGGGGTCTAAATGAAAGCAACCCGGACTTGAAGACACCGGTAATGAAAGCAACTCAAACACAAACATGACCATAATCGACTAGAATCGGCTTCGTTATATTTTCAAGAATTCGATTCTTGAAATTAATTAACTATTTGAATTTTCAAAATCATCAAGAATCAACAACTATATTTGCAGAAAAAGCACTGCACAAACCGAAACTCTAGGGTGAGACTAATGGCAAACATGTCTTTATATGAAAATATAGAGTCCAATGTTCAAACACCAAACTTTACACTATGTTCGGTTCAAAAAATTAGGGAGGAAAAGAAAAGAAAACGAGTTTCCGTCATTTTTCTCACCAAAATAGAAAGAATTTAGTTTTTTCTCCTCTTACTCTCTTAATATGTTTACCTTTTCACTTTCTTTTTAATCCATTATTCTTTTGTTTTCTTCTCTAAACAAATAAGAACAACTATTTTCCATCTTAATTTCGATTTGTTTTCCTTTTGAATTTCTTGAACCAAACATAGTGTTAGTGTTTAGGCCTAGTTAAAATTACAACAGCACACAAACTTCAAACATCATTTGATATCAAGGCGAAAATAACAACAATAATTTCTTTTTCACAAACTCTCAAAGATTCATTATTCATTGAGGTGTCACACCTAACGTTTTACATAAACAATTTGTTCTTATTTTGAGGTTAATTAACACTTTCAACCACAACTTGCCACCTTAGAGAATTACAGGGAGTTTAAAACAATTTCCCTAAAATTGATTTGGTCTACACAGCTAATCCCTATTAATTTCCTTCTTAAAAAAAGACAAAGGCATTCATGGTGTGCATCATCTCCATGAAATTACTATTATATCCTCTCATGAATGTGAATGGATAGGTGTGTATATGGTGAGGGTATAATGGTAATTCAAAACATGGTATACACCATGATGACTATATATAGCACTCCTCATTTCTCTCCACCCATCATCTCTCTCCCTAAACACTTTTTTGAACCTATAGATGAGAAAAAATGGGAGAGATGCTAACGTATTGCGGTCGTTCATGATAATGCTATCTTCCAGAGGTTGGAAGAAAAGCAATCACAATTTAGAAAGCAGCATTCCAAAGGACCTTTTCGCCCTCACCACACCGTCGGTGGACCTCCTTTATCCTATCAGCGGACCTGCATATCCCGCTGCAGGTCCAGTCAAACGAGGCAACGCAAATGTTGCCTGCCTGAGCCTTCCATTCACAATCTGCACCAAACCAATTAAAGGACTAAGTTCATAAGAGTAGTCGATTTTGGTATCTGTCTCAACACTTTTCTGATGTGGGAAAGGATGAGCATTGAGTTGACACATTTGTGGTTTTTACCAGGTGGAGTGCCGCAGCATAGTCTTCGGTCATCAATGTGCCGCACGTCGAGCCCAATGAACCAAGACCCGAGTGAAACATCCTCGTTAGCATATTTGTGGAGGACATGTCTGCCAAGGATTCCAAAAGGGTTTTTTTTTGTCAAAAACCCAACTCACTCAAAAGCTCAAGTTTCTGGTCGTAAGTTTCCCAAGCAATGGACGTGAACAGTATTTTTTAAAAATTGAGGCACAATGAGTTTCGAACTCGTGACTTTTGGGTCAACGAAACTTTGATATCATGTCAAGGACCTCAAAAAACTCAAAGTTATGGTCATAGATACAAGAAAGGTTTTATACTCAAAAGCTGATCAAGAAAAAAAATGCTTAACTGGTTGAGTGAAATGTATGCAGCCAAGTCCCTTGAGATGGCATACAATTGTCCTGTGGCGTGACGGAAATATTTATTTCCAGTCTCCCCAAACTTCCAATACTCGGGTTCGTGGTACCTCACTCCCCTGTTCTATGAAAATCAAGTAAGAACTTGTTCATGTCAAAACTGCATCAAACCAATCAATTTTGAGTTTTTTTCTCTTACTTTTGAGACAAAACAGGGCCGGATTTCATGCACCCGATATACACGAGTGGTTTCTTGCGGTGTCTCGCTAGTGTTTCCCCTAGTGTTCCTGTAACCATTGCATTCCCTCATAAGTAATCTGTTTTTTTACTGAAGTAAAGAAAAAGTCTATTTTACGAGTATGTACCTATATTTACATGGACATCATCATCAACTTTTATGTAGTACTCTGCATCCCATAGTTTAACTGCAGTTGAAAAATAAGTCTTTGTCTTTGCAGACAATTCAAGATACCCCTCCACATGATCCTGTTTGGATTAGCACATCATTGTTTTTAAAATCAAATGTTTCTTGATGGGTACAATGAAGAGGAGGAAGAAGAAGAAGCGAGTTTGGGTGAGTGAGTATTACCAGCCTCAAGAAATCTCCATGTTTTTTATCCTCGGCTTCAATAGCTCTGTCTAGTATACCGCCAACCGTGGCACTACAGATTGCTCAAATGAATGATATTTACATTAGTTTATGAAAGCAAAAGGACACTTGATGAGAGAAGGTAGATAGAGACTCTTGCTTACCCATGGCCAATCACAAATCGAATGATGATTCCTTTTTCTTCTTCTAGCTTCTTCCTCTTTTCGCCTATTTTCTCGCATCAAACGAAACAAAAATAAGAAAAAAAAAATGGCAAATGCAAAACCAAGCATACCCAATGTATCCTAGGAAAAGGCTATGAACAAAAACACAACAACGAACCCAGTAGAATCCCACACAAGGTAGGGTCTGGGGAGGGTGAGTGTAAATAAAGACTCTGATATTGTGAGCAAATAAGTTAAAGAAGAAAATTTTAAACCTTGGGGCATCCAAGTGGTGCGAACCGAATCTCTTCTTTTTCGGCTACTGAATGCGGTGTTTATTCCAATAACCATAAAATATTTTCTCCTTTTGGACGAACTAACTTCATCTGATATAGGAGAGCCGCTGAGAATCGATTCTTGAGCAGCCAATTCCATTTCCAAATTTGACACCGATTTGTCTAGCGTCCTGCACCACAATTTTTATGTACAACATTTTTTCTATGTATTCATGGAAACAATAATCTTGAGAACAAGGGAGGAACATCAAAGTCATCAGATGGCAAAGCAAAAGCAACTCACTGAATGGCGTGATGGGTTCTAGAAACTTCCCCGGCGACATCCTTAGACACTTTCACATCTTTTGGCTGCGACTAGACGATAGAAGATCACAAATCAGTTTTAAAAGAATTTTGCATTAACGGAGCGATTAGAGAGTGGAGAAGAAGGGATATATACTCACATGTTCTGTACCACAACCTTCCGATATAGACTTCAGGCCTTCAACTTCAACTGCAGTTCTTATTGTAATCCCTTTTGGCTCAGGAACAGTCCACATTCTGTCACAAGTAACTTTGCTGCATTATGATTATTACTAGTATATAGCTAAACTGTAATTTCTTGGCGAGTGCTTCGAATTATATATGGGGAATCCTCTCTAAAATGTATGAATTCGCCTAATATTCCGGAAATTAAAAATGACCGTAGGAGATTCCGGGACCTTATTGTTAGGATCTCTCTCACACACACTCATATTTCAAGATGAAGAAATCAAAATCAGATGAAATTGGTTCTGTCTATAAAATGATGGATTTTTAAAATGATAAAATTTACAAGACTTGGGTTTTTGCAGTAAAATGAAGAAATTTTAAATTTTGATTAAAAAATTGAAGTGGGAAAAACTAAGAAAACTGGAAATTTGCAGATCTACATCTCCTTGACCATGTAATGAAACAGTAGACCCCTAAATACAGTGAAAACCAAATGAAAATAACAGTACCTCAAACACACAGTCATCATTAAAGAAAAGCCCTTAACATATAATCTCACAAGCAGTAAAAAAATCAGTCAAAACAGAGAGAAGAAAAAAATCCAATTTTTTTTTTAAAAAAAATTATACTTTTACCTGCTGGTGAAGAAACATCCGGCGCAGAAACTACCTATGCAGAGCAGAAGCGTCCAGTTTCTGGAAATGATTTTACTTCTCGGGACCATATCTCCGCCGGGTGAGGAGGCGGCGCCGCCTCTGCTCTTCAGAGACATCAACTAATTATGGGTCGAAATCTAGCGTCTGCCACCGCTGTTTAGAGAGAACCCATTCCTGGGAAAAGTGTTTCTTGAAAGACAGTTCGTTCTTGGAACAAACTTTAAGGAAGATTCTGATCTACGGGTAAGCTAGTAGTAGTAGGTACTGGTTAGGCTATACCTTTGAATGACTGACTTCCCCTGTCCTCTGTAATTTCTTTTACTTTTCAAAGGATGCTTTGTTTGAACTTGTGGGTTGTTTGTTTGTTTGTTCCTTTCTTTAATCTTGAGAATGGTACTCTGTTATCCCACTCCAATCCAAAATTAACTAATCCCTTTACTTATTTTGTATTATACTCCCTATTCCTCCCATACACACAACTCACACAAGAGTAGTAATTTATTAGTGTTTTGGAATTCACATTTAATTCCTTCACTTTGATTGTTTCGATTCAAATTTGATGAACTTTAAATATCATTAAAACTTTTAATTTATTTTACATATTAATACAATAAACTAGCATTATATATATTCTCTTTGTCTGAAAATATTCTTCTCATTTGGCTTTTCACGGTCTCCAAAATTACACTTTGACCATTAATATCTTTATTTTTACATATCGAAATCAAAGTTTACAAATTTGATCAAGAAAAGTCAAATGACATAAGGATTTGCACTAATTTTAGTGCTATTTAGCGCAAATATTTCTTAATTAAACGCATAAAATTTGTTTGGGGAAATATATATACTCGGTAGTAATGAGGGTGGTGGGGCAATGAAATTTATGCATAGATCCAGAAACAAGCGTACGTCCCATCTGTAACGAGAGCACAACTGAAGCCTATACATCACACCACGTTCTTGCTTCCCTTATCTTTAAGCTTTGGTTCCCTTCTCAAGCTAAGCTAGCTGCCCCACGCTGTCAGAATTACATGGGACCCTGTATCATTTCTTTATTGCTAAATACTCCATCCATCTAAACAAAATTACCATCGCTTAATTTTTTCATATCAAATTCTAAATTATTTTGATCATAAATTATGAAAAAAAATATTTAGCAATAATATAATTTAGTAAAATTAGATTTATTTTTAGAATATAATTTTAATATATCAAATTTTTATAATATTTAATCACTTAAAATTATAACAGTATTTAATTTTTGCTCTAAATATTCCACAATTTGACTATAAAGTCAAAATGTGATACGGATACGGAGTAATACTCTATCCCTCCTAATTGCCTTACTTTACTTGGTTCTTTATGTATTTGTGATTTTTAAGTGTAATCTTTTGTACTCTTCCCTCTCAATTTTGACTACAATCTTTTTTTTCTCTCACATCTTGATAACTTTTGTTTATTTATATGTTTTCATTGATTATTTGATAAAATAAAATACTATTGTTACTTCTTATTTTGTAAAAACTTTGACGTAGTTTTTTAATATGTACTACCTCCGTCCCACTCTTTTTGTCCAGTTTTGACTTTTGGAACTGTTCATCAAAGCACTTTGACTCATCAAATTCTTTCAATGTGTAAGTCTAAAAATAGTCATGTGTGATCTTGTTTGATTTGTCTTAATATATAGATTATTAATATATAATTTTATAATTTTTTTAATATACAAATTACAAGATAAAATGGATTAAGGAAATGCATTGGATGGTGTGCAAAAATGAAAGTGGACAAAAAGAGTGGGACGGAGGGAGTAACTATTATTTTTATTGATATAACAACGGGAGAAGGACCAAAATAGGAGTAAAACATATAACATATCTTCAAAGTAGTAGTTCAAACTTAAACTCCTCTAAATAGGAGTAATTGACTTATTAATTTAATACTATCCCTCTTTTCTTCACTGTACGCCTTTCTTCACTTTGAGTTTCCTTTGATGGTGTTATTTTTTCTCCTAAGTTTCCATTACACTTTGAAAATTCTCTTAGACGTTCCATTCCTAAGTTTCCATACCAGTTTTTTTGTTTCTTTAGGTTTAGGAATAAAAATTTTCTCTTCCATTAATCAAGTCCATGTATAGAGGAAGTTCTTCAACCAGAGGTATTTAAAAAAAAGTGTTGCACCAAAAAATGGTGCTCCGTCGCAGCATCCTGCTGTTGATGCCCCGCTGCCATGTCCCCACCGCTCCCCCATAAATCTCTGTCATGACAGTGCCCTACTATGCCCATCGCGCTTTTACATCGCTACTAGCATGCTGCCGAAACACAACGTTTCCCCCATCGAGTTTTCACCGCCATCGGCGACATTTCCGGTCTCGACCACTATTGCCGACTGCACCATCACAATATACAATGTCATCATAGTAGTATTGTATTAATTGCCAATACAGTGTCAAAGAAAAACATATACGGTGTCAAAGAAAAACATAATGTCAAACTTGACACCAGAGAATGTCACACATGACAATGCACAATATCACAGATGCCCATATGTAATGTCATACATGCGAATTCACAGTGTCACACAAATACATGCGACCATCATATCATCCACTTCATAGTCACCTTTATGGCGACCTAAGTACGAAAACATCTTGAAACCATTAGAAAAGCACATTTGGAAGAAACAATTTTAGATCAATTTTACAAAATCATTTCTTAAGAAATAAAAAAATGAATCTAACAACCAATTTGAAAGAAAATTCAGATACCAATACAATTATTTGGATGGATGCCTTTGTTCTTTCTCTGCTCGCCGGCCGCCACTTTCTTCGTGCTCATCAATTTCTTGTATAAATGGCAAAGCACCCAATCATCTAGCTATGGATTAAAACGAAAACAAAATGTTCATTTTATTCAAGTCTATTCATGTACATAAATTTTATTTTTAATTCTCATTTCTTTGTTGTTTGTCTGTCCAGAAACCACACGGCCGACTAGGTTCTCATTCATTTGATCGAATAGCATCAGCCTCACTTATTACTTATTTAATTACTCCTATTTAGGGGAATTTAAGTTTGAGTTCCTATTTTAAAGATATGATATATGTTTTACTCCTATTTAGGGAGTTTTCTTTATAACAACTTGTAAATAAAATGATTTTAAAAGGTACAAAGTTTTACCTCATAAGTCCTAATTTATAATCAAATTTGAGACGAAAAAAAGTACTCCCTCCGTCCTAAAACTTTCTTCCCAGAGCACTATTCCAACTTCACGGGAATTTATATTTATTTGTGTTTTTTCATGGCCTATATGATAAAATAAAATATTCTTGTCACCACTTGTTTTGTTGAACTTTTGATGTAGTTTTTAAATATGTATGTTTTATTTTTTATTTCTATACCAATATTTAAATAAAATAGATTGAAAAAACTTAGAATTTTTCTTCGTTTTGCACAACGGGAAGAAAGTTTTAAGACGGAGGGAGTACTTTTTTTCATATAACTCCGTATTTTATATCACATCAATTCAATACTCTATGTCTCT